GATGATGGTAACCGAGTCCATGTCATGTGGATTCCATCTCATGTTGGCCTCCGAATGCATGATAAGAGTTGATGAGTTAGCCGAAGAATCTGCCCTTAAGAGAGAAATTTAATATAACCTTGGATTGTCAATAAGCAGTCTGATTGTACCGTACACCAAGAACATCAACAGAATCTTGTAGATCTGAGACAAAGTGAAATTGACACCAGTAATTCCATCTATCATCATACTATCATGTAAAATGTGAATGTTTGTATCCATCAATGTTTGCATCTCACCTTGTATGTATGTACTTTACCTGAATAAACATTTGATTTGAAAAAGAGCCACATATCTATGGATTATCCAATAAAGTCAGCAGACTTCTAGATGTTACTACTGCTCGACTTAGACTCTGTTATAAGTATCTCTGGGAATTTTCATTATCTGATGATGTAGACCTGACCAAATGTAAACTGTGTCCACAAAATTATTCGCACACCCTCCGTCACTATTTGATAGAGTGCGAAAAGATACGTGAATTCAGAGACAATTCTATAACAACTATTCAAGAGATGTGTAAATATTTAATTAAAAATGATTTGCTACCAGAAATCTTAGTCAAATATCCCCAGTTTGCTAACTGTAGGTAGTAACTGAGTGATTGTAACTTATCCACCACTGCCCACTGGATGGGGGGTCGATGTGCAGGCTGCAGGATAAACATATCAATTGTAACACTAGCTCACCTTATATGCCAGTTGCGTAATTTAGAAACTGTACTTGTGGTCGGTCTCGAGCCCATTGTTGATGTGACGGTATGCATTGAATTTTGTAACTAGCTTTACCTAGCATTTACCTTTACCTAACTCCCGGGCAATAGGTGCCCGGGAGTTAGAGAATTATTATGTATTGCAGTCTGGGGAAAGTCAGTAGTTCGGCCAAGGGGGGAGAAGGGCTTCCATACAGGCCTCCTGACCCCGATAACAGGAATTATATAATGAGCTCAGAAACTGAGCCTCAAAATTAGTTTGTTAATTTTTATTTTAAAAATATACCGAACAGGTCAGGTCATAGCGGTCTAACAATGGATAAAAATATATATTTAGTATAGTTAGTATTTTGGGGGGAATTTTAATAACTTGACACTGACCATGGGCGTAATAAAAATGTCGAGAATAAAGAAATACGCACATGTATTCCACGGATCATAGTTTGTTTTAAAGTTGAACATCGGGGGTTATAGTAGAAGGATAGCTAGTGTTTTATGCATCTGTATCATTCTATTTTGTCCAACTGTTGGCTTCGGTATTCGATGCCATTACATCCACATGTGGAAGCGTAATTACGTCTGTATGAGAGCATAGGCTACTTAGCTTGCTAAATTGACCATATTTATTAGCTTTGAATTTGCTAGGGTTCTATTATAAATGAATTATATGTAAGTACCAAACCTATTATAAATCTCATGCATCATTTTTTAAAACAGAGAATATCAGTGTTTGTAAATATTATTTGCATGGTGATATTTAATTACCCAGTCCGTCCTCCTAAGGTTTCCCAACATTAAGAAAACGGTCAAGTTAAAGTGACCTCTCTTAACCTACCAGAGGACCCAAAACAGAAAACGAGACTACGTCACTTTCGCGAGCCGCTACCATTTTCTAGTACAACCATTTTTGGCCTTATGTAACGCATACGATCGAAATGCGACGTTCTCTGTAGCAGGACAGATTGGAATAAAACTTATTTCAGGATTAAATTTTATGCCGTTGATTCTTTTATGTCGTGGAAAATTGGCCCATAATCAAACACATTTAATTATACAGTTGTAACACACTAGTACTAAACATTCATAACATTAGTACATACACTTAATTTATTTCGGCATGCCTAAATAGTGCCCAATAAATATTCAATTAAGTTCTCAAAAGAAGTCAAACTTACTGACAAATCTGGAGCTCTCTGGGATGGAACTCCTCACCTCGTTATAGCTTGGGCAGCCAGCCAATGTCGACCGCTTCAGCCAAGTCATGAGATTAAACTTAATTCTTTTATTCAGCTCATGGTTATAGAATGGCTGAAAAAGATATTTCAAGTACTCGCCAAATCCGCGCCTAACATTATCTGTACCACAATAATTAGCTTTCCATAAAAGTAGACTAAAATATTTGTAATGGTTTATTACTTTTTAATTCTTTTGAAATCTTCGTATTCTATGAATTTGTTCTGATAAAGTTACACATCGCATTACACGATAAATTTATCGTCTAATGTAGTTTACATTCATTATATTCCATGATTTTGAAATTTATTAGAAAAACATCCGCAAACTTCAACATGGACAATATTTTAACCAATAAAATAAAATACATAACACAAACAAAATAATTCCAGAGCCTATCCTGTTGGCAATCAAGTAACGTGTTTTTGTTTTGATTACAAAACCCACCTGAATTGAACGGCTTATTAAACTCCTAAAATAAAAATACAACTCCTTGAAAGTCTGGTGGCAAGAGAAGCAGCAGTCAGCAAGTCTGGAGAGAGCCGACAAGCCCGCAGACCTGGCCTAGTGTAGTATTGATTTCCCTCCCTGCCTCCTGTAGGCTGACACTGCTTTGTCCAGGGCACAACCCTTCCCTTTTACTGCTGATGATCAATCCTTGTATTCCTTCCAAAGTTTGCTAGTGCTGGCTACCTGACCACATGATACTATATGACAAGCCATCCTGTGAGATGGAGATCTTACAGGATCACAGAGATATATACAATCCTGACTAGAGTTTAGTTTTATCCCATAAATGTAGATCCACCTGATTCTGTTAACAAAGCAAATTATATACAAGTCCCGGGTCATGAAACTGTTTATGTACAGTAAGATTCATTCTCGACTAACACAATCCCAGGTTAGATTATTAGGCGGGTTTGAAATGGTTGTGCACGTTTCCTTTCACCTACGGAATAGCATAGTATAGCACAGTATAGTATAGTATAGTATAGTATAGTATAGTATAGTATAGTATAGTATAGTATAGTATAGTATAGTATAGTATAGTATATTGTAGTGTAGTATAGGATAGTATAGTTCAGTGTGTTATAGTATAGTATAGATTAAGGAGATTAAGGGGGGGTGCCCGGGATAGACTCTACCCCCACTCCCACCTCCATTCCATACTCTTCTCTCCCCTCTTTCCACACCCCCTTCCCCCAGTTACCTCTTCTCTCACCTCTTCCCCGCTCCTCCCCAATCTTCCCTTTCTCTTCCCCCCTTCTCCCTGCCAACTCCCTCTCCGCCTTCTTTTCCCATCTGGCTTCCAACTTCCAACAGTGGAATTGGTATCTGGAGATTCTGATCCAATATCTCCAGATACCGATATATATAACTCTGAACTGTAATGCTAATCCTGATCTTAAACGCTTCCTAGAGAGTTGCGACAGAACCCATGGGCATCACACTCGAAACAAATATCTATTTGAGATTCCAAGAGTGCGACTTAGCCAAACTAGAAATGCTCTTCAAATCAAGGGACCCAGAATGTGGAATAGCCTTCCCAATCACATCAAAGACTGCCCCTCTCTCAACCAGTTGAATAGAAAAACTAAGTACTACCTAATCAACTCCACGTAACCTCCTAAATGTCAACCCATGTCTTGCTAGTATCAAACATTAATGTTTAATGATTAATAATTCATTATTGATTAGCTTGTAAGGATTAATTACCTGTAAAACTGCTGATATCTGTTATAAATTTAAGGAAATTGTTGTCCGTCTGTTTATTTAGTTCAAATTACTATTTGCTGTTCTGTTGCAATTTCTGCTGTTCTATTCAACATGCAATTATTGTAATTCTTTTATTTTCTACTTCAGTTCAATTCATGTTTTTGATCTCAATTAGTTTTAAGTCTTAGTTTTTAAGTTTCCCATATCTTGCCCGAAACGCTCTGCGTATTAGTGGCTTTAGGTATTATTTAGGTTGTGCGTATTATTAGTGGCAAAATATGTAGTGAGTATATATACTAGCTCTGTCTAGAAATCCAACATTCTGCTTGTAACTTAATATGTATGTACTGAATGTACTTTTACCTAAATAAACTATTCATTTTTTTATTTATTATTTTAGTGTTGACAAAGCGGGGAGGGCAGACCTGTGTTGGCAAATTGTCATATTAGCATATTGTCAGGCTACTGAGAATGATAGGCCTAAACCACTGGTAGGAAAGCCTTTCGTTTTAGGAAAACCATATTTTACTTACCGAAGATTTCATAAGATTGCACATTAATTGTATTATGTGATATATACATTCACATATATTAAACTCACAGATCAAATTTCATTCATTTAAATTGCTTTCAAATGCCGCACTAAATACTATAAAATCAATTACAGCCCCGCTCCTGTGTCAGATAAGTCCACCACGGGCTCACCATAGCCCGTGCTACTTGCAACTTTTGGTTCGTTTGGTTTTGGTAAGTGTTTATCTTGTTGCTTAGCCAATCACGGTGCCGGCTCAGCTGGACAACTGACCAACCACGTACGTTTTATATCAGCTGATGTATGTCAACAAAATAAATTCACGTTGTACCCTTCTTCTAGGAATATATCACGGTATATAGATTGTTTATTTTAGCCCTAAATTGTGTTTAGGAATAAAGTATACTTGCTAGTATATACTAAAGTATATAGCCAGTAAACTCCTGCGGAGGCCTTATATAACTTTCCAGTGGTTGAAATATTGTTGGAAAGAGAATCGCAGTGAGGAGATAGTGATGGTGTTTGAAAACATATACACCGAAATGTCTACCCCCATTTGTCGATGTATATATACTGAGTTTACTTTAATCTTAGAGGATGTTCAGGAAAGTATACTTGCTACTTAGTGAGCTACTGACGCTGTCTTAATAACCATCGTGCAGTTGATATGCCTTTAGCTCAATCCTATATAAATATTTAGCTTTGTATTTGTTTATAATATAACATACCCAGAGGGAAGCGTAGGTGATGAAATAAAGGTTTATTTAGAGGTTTTATTGTGGTAAAAGAAGGACAGATATAATAAATATATCCCGTGTTTAATTATCAACCCATTTCTTGGCAACTTTCTAAAAGTTGATCCAAATGAATGGTCACTGGTTAGGTAAACCTAGAAAAATAAGAACTATAAAATATACTATTTATAAACAGCCTAATGTATTAAAAATATTAAAAACTGCATTGTATTTTAATTGATAAATTAGCTTTAATTAAGCATTATACGGTATAACTTTATTTATAAATGGCTGTACCTTTATAACTGAACTTATAAGATTATACAAATTCCTAATAATAATACAAGGGAAAAATACTGTTAAGTAATATTACCTATTATAATTATACAGTATATAAAAAATGCTAATACTTTAATGAAGGAGAAGGAAAACGCCAATGTGTTAAATAACTAATTTTTGGATGTAACCTACATCCTTTTCCATGGTACTGTATAAAATGTTCAGAATATTGTATATAGTACCTTGAGAAAGGGTACAGGATACATCCGAAAATTTGTTTTTAATACACTTACACATGTATTGGGTCTTTCTTTCACCTTCATTCAAGCACTACGGCATTGTAGTACGTTTCTCCAATGCTTTAATGTGACATGATACTAAATCATTGAAAAAGACAAAGCAAATAACAGCAATTGTTACAATTCTAATGACAGTAATAGATATATATTACAAGACACAGGAGACAATTTATAGAAAACTACCTTCCCTAGTGATATATAGCTTAATCTGAAGGTTTTTCTTTCTTTTTTTAAGAAAGGCCTAAACAAACTAACAGTGTTCTAAATAGTAGACATGTTTTGGAAAATGAAGAAAATGACAGATACATACAATTAGAAAGATGAGACTTACATATACATAATATAACCATTACTTAATAATGCCAAGTACCCAGCCACGGGTATACTTAGTAATGCCAAGTATCCAGCCAAGGGAATACTTAATAATGCCAAGTACCCAGCCAAGGGTATACATAATAATGTCAAGTACCTAGCTTAGGGCATACAGTATTTAATACTGTCAAGTACCTAACTAAGGGTATACTTAATAATGTCAAGTACCCCACTTCATTTAATATCACCTTTAAAGGACGAGTCTTGCCTTTTATATATTTGTTTATTCTCTGAAAATCCCTGACATTTTCCTTTGTTGAGAGGTCTTCTAACCTACCATTTTATCAGTGATTTTTTTCTTCTGCTGCTGTCCACTCTAAATGGTATCTAATTTTCCAAACATTCAAAAATTATTCTAGAACTTTGTCAAGTGTTCTGTTCTAATTTACAGTACTTTCTTAAGTGACTATCTAATGCCAGTTCATGATTGCTTATTTCTGTTGTTGACTTACATAGTTTTTTGCTTCTTTCTCATTTACGACTTGTGCATATTTATTTTTTACTTCATCTTTACAATTGTCCAGTTCTCTATTAACTTCCTCCACTTCAGTTGCTTATAAACGTTAGCCTTGACTAACTCCTTGCATTAGCTAGCCTGAATAGTTTCTCTTAGTTCTTGTCCATATCTTTTTATCCTCTTGATTACTTCTTCAAATTTGTATTCCCCCCGTTCCTTTCATTTTCCATGTCTCATTTTGTTTCAAGTTTCTTTATTTGTCCTTCTGGTCTCCTTACCTTATCTATCAAGTTGCCAACTTCTTACAAAGTGCTTCCCTGTAAAAGGTTAATTTTAATAATAATATCTTTATCTTCTATTTCTAATGTAAGAAATTTTCCTTCGTGAATCTTTTGCAGATCCTCAACCATCACCAACCTGCCCATAAAACCTCCATTCCTTATTTCTTCCCTAGTGAAATCCTTCAATTTTGTGTACCTTGTTGACAGTTCAGTACTCTTCGCATCAGCCATTTTGTGTTTTGATCCTCGTCTGCTTCTCTGTGATAGACCTTGTTAAATGTTTTCCAAGATTTGTATGTTTTTTTCAATAATTAACAACTTCCCACCTATATAATTGATATTGGTGTTCTAATATATGGGACACCATTGGGAACCTCTCTCCCACACTACCACCAGGAATGTGTTAATCCTTCAGCTCTTTGTGATATGTCATATTGATGTGTATAGTTGTGCTGATGTTTGTTGACGGTAGTATGTAGTGGTGTTGATGAGTGTATGGTAGAGTAAGTGCATGATGAAGTGTATGTTGAAGCTGTTGGTTCCCGTGGCGCAGTGGTAACACACTCGCCCCGTGCTCCGTGAGCGATTTGGCCTGGGCTCGTATCCTGGCAGGGGAGGATTAACTAGGCGCCAATCCTTAACTGTAGCCTCTGTTCACCCAGCAGTGAATGGGCACCTGGTTGTTCAACGATTTGGCGGGCCGTATTCCAGGAAAATTCAGGTTAAGCACCTGCCCGAAACGTTATGCATGTTAGTGGCATAATGAATATACATTATGTAAATTCATGTAATTATGAAATTACATGAATGTACAAGAATGTAAATGTACAGTGGAGATAGTGAGTGAATGGTAATGTTGGAGAGTGTATGGTAAAGCTGAAATGATTTTTTTCATGTATAGTCCTGCACGGTCTTGGTGAATAAGAGCGAAAAGTTTAGAAGTATTTAGTTTCTGGAGAAAAGGATGTAAAAAAAAGGAGCTCAGATCTGCTCGTCTCTTCCACTTACAAACGAGTTGGCACAATGCGCTCCATGAAATTCCAGACTCCAGCATTTGGCGTCTGGCCAAAACTTTGTCACCTTGACAGCAACGCTCCTAGCCTGTGACAGCTACTGGGTTTCATATCATCTATAATACTATTTGAAATACTCAAACCTAAGTAAATTTTGATTGCTCATAAAAATATAAGTCAAAATTGTATGAGTTTTCCAACCCCTAGAGCATTACAGTACTAATACTAGTATAACATACATACATTAACTGAAAATATAGGGCGATATTCAGACTAATTTAGTGACACTAATTGGTGGCCCGATTGTTATTTTTTCATTATTATTATTATTATTATTATTCGCACAAAGAAATCCCATTAACGTGATATATCAATGGGAAACCCAGTAGGAGCCATGGGGAGGATTCGAACTTGCACATTGGGTACTCCTAAGCACACGCCTTCGATCACTTCACCACGACATATTCAAAAAGCAATGCAATATGGGATTCAACTAAATAATCCAGGAGTCCTGAGGCAGTGTGTAAAACCCAAACTTTGATACAGTGGAAACCTTAAGACCGTTAAAGGAGTCACATGAATCCCAGGTTGTATTGCTTTTTAGCATGTCGTGGCAGAGTTGGTTAGGGCGTATACTTGGGAGTACCCCAGTGTGTACGTTCGAATCCTCGTCATGGCTTCTACAGATTTGTCTTATCATCACCATCAAGGCTTCTACTGATTTTCTCATCATCATCATCATTATTATTATTATCTTTGAGAAGAATGGACAGAGGTCGACAATAAGGCTGATCGAAGCTCCACTCATCTAATTTTTCTCAATTCTGAAATAAAAATATAAAAGAACAATCAAACCACCGATTTGATGTTTCCACAGTTCCACATAAATACAGCCCATATACATCAAAATGCTCCATACAACACATGAAACCTCTATTTAATTAACTATTTTGATTTTTAAAAATGTGGAAAAACGGCACTAGACACCAAACACGACGCCTAGAATCCTCGTTTGACACACTGATATTGGCATGCATCATCATAGTGACTTTTGTTGAGGGAAGAACACAAGGGAGTAAGCGAGAGTTGGCAGGTAAAGTTGGCCAGCAAAAACCGTCTCAAAGCCCAACACTTGTGGCTAGGCGCTAGAGACCAGCCAGTGGAACACACCTGAGCTTTGGGGAAGACTTCTAAACAAATATGTTCTCGTGTAATGATATGCAGTGTGGCTGTGCTATATATATGTTATGCACATTGTTGTATATGCAAAATAAAATATACAATCGTTAACATATATATACATATAGTTTTTTTTGCAATCAATAACTCGCTATATATAAACTTTCCAAACCCAATATATTGATATATTAATCTATATAAAACAACACTGAACATTGGTTCTATGACTTAGCAAACAGGTAAACAAAGTCTCTTGGTCCACACTGAAGTTCTCTTTTAAGACACTGCACTCGAATCCTTAGAATAAAAATATAACAGATGATTGAAACGTGTTACAAAGCATGAATTTACTCAAAGGAAGTATGCTATTTGTACATTATTATTGATATTCATCAATTTATATATTGAACAATTTAATATAATAAGTATGAAACAATATGGCAATATTTCGGTCTTTTTTTACTTCTATTGATAACGTCAAATTATCGACAATTAAAGCAATAAATTACAAACTATCTAATTTATGTGACAATAAAGAAACATCAGATATGTTTAAGTTATTGCAGGTAATTAAAACTATTAAACTTCATGCACTCCTTGACAATGCATGGTTAACAAGATTCAAAATTTATGAAACAATTAATGCTTGCAATGTATAACAAACTAATATGGTTAAAAAACAACGTACAACTAAATTTTACGATTTTCAAGTTAAGGTTATATTTGTTTTTAAATATGCATAAAATAAATATTAGTGCTTTCTACATATTACAAAATGGATTACCTGTAAAAAAAGCCGCATCCAATTAGTGAACCCTACATATATATACAACCCGTACAACAAACAATATACAACAAATTTTACAGTAAGAATAAGTCTAATGTTATCATATTAAGTTTTATTTTTATGATTAGAATAAATCTAATCATAAAATCTAATCTCATATTTCATAAAAAGCTTTACCACGAAACTTGACATAAGCCAAAACAATTATGCAACCCACCTAACCTAAACCTTCGATTTGAAATTTACAACAAAATTATTGCTCTTCCAACATAGGCGATGAGGAATCGTTTACCTATTCAGAGCAGAGCCACCAACCCGACCAAATGTAAACTGTTTCAACATAATTATTTGAACACCCTCCGTCACTGTATGTGATAACAGTACGAAAATATACGTGAATTTATAGACAACTCTATAACAAATGTTCAAGAAATGTTCAGATATTTCAGTCAAAATGGTCTATCACCAGAAATTTTAGCCAAATATCCCCAGTTTGGTAACTGTAGATAGTAAATGTGGGTGATTGTAACTTATCCACTGCTGCCCACTGATTTGGGAGGGATAAACATGTCAATTGCGACATTAGCTCACCTCATATACAAGTTGCTTAGCTTAGAGACTGTACTTGTGGTTGGTCTTGAACCCACTAACAATGTAATAATATACTGTACATTACAATTTGTAATTAGTTCATCAAAGCTGCAACTTGCTTAGCTAAATGAATTGTGGGGTTCAGTCCCTGAGCCCATTATGTGCCTCTGTAACCCTTTCCACTACCGCCCACAGGATGGGTATGGGGTGCATAATAAATGAACTAAACTAGAACTGCGTCAGTCAATAACCAAGAAGGCCAAAAACTTGAGAAAACTTTGGTATTCAAACAAGTGCTGCTAACCAATTCTAAACTTTTAATCAATTATAGTTACTTAAAAAAGGATCTATGTCTATTTAAATTTAAATTACGTTTTAAAATTGGTTCTGAGATTATCATAAGAATTAATTCGTAATAATATTCACTATGTAAATACTATCATATCATCAATATCCCAAAGTTTCAGTTAATTAGCTAAGATAATAAAGGTTATATCTTTTAAGTGACCCCATTTTTTACCGTGCTAGTTTCTTGAATATTAAATTAAGTCCACTACGAGATCACCAAAGCCCGTGCTACTTGGAACTTTTGTTCAGAGTAGCTGAACCTATAACAACAACGAATATTAAAACATACTAGACTATAGAAAACGCATTACAACACACAAAATAAGCCTTATATTGTCAAACATTAGTAATGAAAATAATAACTAATATGATTCTATATTACGTCCTTAATACAAATAATAACTTCGTAAGTAACAGTTTTAGTGTGTTAATTTTTGTTAAAGATATGCATATGAATGAAATGTCTCCCCTGCTCACAGCTCAATGGAAACACCCAATACACCAACAGACCACAAATCCTCAATGAAGTATATACTTCATAACAGCTGCCAGACAGCAGGACTGTTAGATAAGGTTGTGTCCTCAAAGGGCGCCGGGGCGCTCTCCCGGAGGTACTTGTGGTACACCTGGTGACAACGGTAGGCCACCACACCAGCCGCCACTATACATACTCCTGCAGGAAACACAAGCTTATATCATTATCGTAAAGTTATCCTTAATATGCCAGTATTAAAAATATAACTGTTATACAACATACCAGAGTTCACAATGATATCACGATAACGAGAAGCTATGAATAAGTATGGTGTTGAAGAGGCGAGTTGATTTCATCGTAAACCTCAATATGACTACAGTACGTTGACCAGACCACACACTAGAAGGTGAAGGGATGACGACGTTTCGGTCCGTTCTGGACCATTCTCAAGTCGACAATCGACTTGAGAATGGTCCAGGACGGACCGAAACGTCGTCGTCCCTTCACCTTCTAGTGTGTGGTCTGGTCAACTTACTTTAGCCACGTTATTGTGACTCATCGCCTGAACGTACTACAGTACTCTATTAAGAAAGCAATATTTGGTTTAACTTACTACAATGCTGTAGTGCTTGAATGAAGTATTACACATATATTGGAGGTTTCCTTCAACCTTCAAAACAATATTTATTGGTACTAATGTAAAACACGCCTTAACACCATATGGAAATTACAGGAAACTAATCACTAAACAAAGCATTATTCCCCATTATTAGACTGAATAATTTAGTCATAGTTTGTGCCTTTAAAGCTAATATAAATAAATGATTAGATAACTTCTTGAGTTTAATTATACCGTGTTCACTCAATCAATACAAATAAACATACTAAATTTCCCTGGGAATGTAAGTGTAAAATTAAAATCTGTGAAGTTAATCTTTATTTCGCGCATAAGTTGAAGCCTTTGATTTACTCTCTACGCGTAATTTAGATATGACCTTGTATCGTACTTTTTGTTTTTATTAATTCGGTAACTTTCAATACTTTTCCAAGAAATTTTAAGTAAAAAATTTTTAACAGCATTAATGTTTCAACATTTGCAATTTTAGTTAATGCAATACTAGAATTACAATGCCCTTACCTCAAACAGTATAAATGCTATTATTATTGTGTCCAGGACTTGTGATAATATGTTTGCCACTAAATAGTATTGTTTTATGTATCTGGTCATGCAGATATTATTACCGTCCAGCTTCAGCCTACACATTGATAACCAGAAGTCAGTTCAACAATTTCCCTGGACAACAATACTAATGAACGCATTGATAAAGAAGCCGTACACAAAGTCCTGTACAGTGACGTCAGTCCAGTAGTTTTTTCAGTTTCTCTCAAAATTGACGCCATATAAAGTGGCATTATTGTTTAAAATTATGACAAGTGAGCCACACGGGCGACTTGACAATGTGATATGACGGGGGGGGGGGGGGCGACATAGTGGCTACGGGCTCACCATAGCCCGTGCTACTTGGAATTTTCCATTCCAGGTAGCGAATCTTTAACAACAACAACATAGTGGACATCCCCGCAAAGCAACATAATGCAACATTTCAACACCGTCTATTTAAATTATAACAACAAGGAATAAGGAATACTGAAATTTGAATCATTTTTAGCTGGTTCTATGAAATAAGCATACTTTAAAAATATATACGTGCAATACTGCATTATAGCAGATGAATATACAGTACATTCTATATAAATAACATATTATACCTCTTAAAATTAGTAATTCAGTAGGGTTAATAACAACATTTTAATTAAATTAATTGCAAAACAAATTAAAAACAATCTTACGATATTAATGACATGCTGGTAAATTGAGGCAAGCAATAGTGTGTTACGCTCTCGATATAATAAAAAAAAATAGTCGATATAAGTACAGTATGTAAACAAACATCAATTATTGAGTAGATTTGCTGATGGCGTTTAGACTTTAAGGCTTTAAGAATCTATAAGAAGCGAAACATCTTTAATAAAAGCTGCTACTTTACTTGGTGTTTCTTATCATTCTTATCAGCACTTTGTAACGTAATCAAACAAACAAGCAGCTCATCTTTAATATTAATACAGTACTTCAGAATTAGACAGCTGTTTATAAGCTGTCAGTGAGAATGCAGAGCACTTATTTAAAACTGCCGTTATGCTTTTTGGGAACACTCAATACAGAAATGTACAAAAAGCAGGAATAACTACCCAAAAAGTAATTTTATACAAATAAAAGTATTAGTGTAACCAACCTCCAGTGCAGCCGAAGACACTGCAGAGAATCTCGATAGAAACGTTGGGGAGAATGTTAAATGCTAGTCCAAGAATTATGAAAGCCGTGTTGAGAAATGTGTGGCCAATGCTGAGCAGGAACACTGCTACCCAGAAGAGCATCACCATGTCTGTGTACAGCCAGAGAGGAGCCTCGTGCTCGTCCGGCATGTAAACATGGACCGTGCAGCTCGACTCCTCTAAGTACACCGGCATCACTATCATTCCAGGGTATATGTCTATAGTTCGTAGGTCAGCCAAATTATCCACACTGCCACTCTTCCTGGAGTTCGTTGTGGCTAGCGTGTCCACGCTGCCACTCTTCCTCGATATCCTTGTGGCTAGATTATCAACACTTCCCGATCTTCCAGATTTTGCTGTTATCTCTCCCATGTTTATCTCGCAAATCTTTCCATTACAGTAAGTTTCAGCGGGCACTACGGTATCACAGATGGTGACCGTGTTCTCGCAGGCAGCCATCACCCGCAGAAGTTCTCCCCCGGAACCCAGATCGAGGAGGGCAGGGGCGGCACCTTCGCCTCGAGCCATACGTCTGGCTTTAGCCATGACAGTGTCCACCTGTCGGGCACGGTATTTGGTGTATCTCTTATACCCGACTGCCGATACCACTGTCATCATCGCTGAAAATTTTCCAGAAATGAATTATACAATCGGATGTGAACTTACTTGTCACTGAAACTAAAACACAGCATTATGGAATCATAGAGAAACAGGCATACAGCAGTTATACAGATAAGAACGGTCATGTATGAAAGAACAATGGAGTGAATAACGAGAGAACGCCTGTTAGATTAAAAACCATTTGGAAGTGTGCACGAAACAGGTGGGGAATGTGAACAAAATATTTAGGGCAGTAAACAGGCTGGAGTGTAATCAAACCAGATGAACATATATCAAAACAGCTGGGAGAAAAATATATAAAATGGAAGCCTAAACAGAACATGCATTAAATGGAAGCAAAACAGTCGAGAATGTAATGAGAACAGGTGAGAGTGTAATGAGAACTGGTGGGAGTATAATGAGAACAGGTGGGAGTATAATGAGAACAGGTGGGAGTATAATGAGAACAGGTGGGAGTATAATGAGAACAGGTGGGAGTGTAACAAGAGTGAGAGTGTAATTTGAACAGGTGGAATTATAGAGAACTGGCACGGGTAATCAGAACAAGCGGGAATGTATGCAGAACAGATGGAAGTGTAAAGAGTGATAGGACTATAAGAGAACACTTGATAGCGTATTTAAAACATGAGGAACACGTGGTAGCGTAATTAAAACATGAGGAACACGTGGTAGCGTATTTAAAACATGAGGAACACGTGGTAGCGTAATTAGAACATGAGGAACACGTGGTAGCGTAATTAGAACATGAGGTATTGTACGCAAAACCCGATGCAGTTTAAATAGAACAGGTGGAAGAGTAAATGGAACAGACAGGAGTGTAAAGAGAACAGGTGCATTTATAACGAGAACAGCTAAGAGTACAAAAGAACAGATGATAGTGTAGGCCTAAAGCGAACAGATCGGACTATAAATGGAACAGCGAGGTGTGGAAATGGAACACGTGAGTGTCAAGAGAAGAGGTTGGAGTGTCAGACAAATAAGTGGGATTCACAAAACATGCGGGATCGTAAACAAAAGAGGCGCTGAGTGCACTCACCTCCAATCAGTATGAGCGTGGAGCCGACAACAGCAGCGGCCGTACTCGAGCCGTCCACAGCCATGGTCACCACCCCTTCAAACACGGTACTGCTGCCAGTGGCCATGCCCACGATCGCTGCACGCTGCAACACACACACACGTCGATACACTGAGTATCCGGACACACGACTACAGTGCAGTATACGTCGATACATTCAGCATTCAAGCATAACACATACAGCAACACACCTCGGTATACTAAACATTCAGGTATGCGACATACTGCATATATATAAACAATCTCAATACATACACCAAACTCGGTAAATGAGCTATCCAAGCAATATGGATCACACATATAAGCGGATAAAACAAATCTGGGAAGCACACTAACATATGCGACAGTAAAAATCAACGGGTCGTTAACGGAACATAACGATTAATAAATGGAAAATAAACCAAGATGAATACTCATGAAGAAGTCTGGAACGAAACCCATACTACAGCTTCAGGGGCTACGGACACCGGGTAGACCTTATATAAGATTTGTCACATGATAAACATGTAATTTTTCATAGGTGCACGTCAAAGTGGAAAATATAATTTATACCATTTCATCTGCACGTAAATGAAGCCACGGAATGATTTTACCGGAATTTACCTGGGGAGCAACTAACACTAGTGGCCTCAACGAGGACAGGAAGCCGGCGGCTTGTCGAAGGTCCCCCAAATGGTATATGATACAACATAAACCAAACGTATATCGGTTTCACAAAATTAACACAAATAGAAACCATATGGAATGACACCAAACAGTCCAGGATGGACCAAAACGTCATTACTTCCAATATTTTTTTTTTTTTAGATGTGTGGGTTTTACTGTGTTTCATTTTCAACTCCGTTATTGTGATTTACTGTCTGACACAAGATATAACGTTAATATACATAACAAAGTCATACCGTAAAAATCACTTAAAAACAGTTTACATAAGTTGGTAATATTCTAAGGCTTGATTTTTTTTCGTAAAAAGTTTAAGCGTTTAATACTCAAAGACAAAATATTATTTTACGTTGTGTGTGAATATATAATATGGTTTGTATGCTTGGGTTAATGTTTGTATTATTTAAGTATTATTTTGTATTATTTGCATTTAAGGGACCCGTAAAGACAGTCGGGTTCGTTATCGACTCACAATCGAAAATTCAGGGTTCGAGTCCCTGGCGGGACAGAAATGGTTGGGCGCATTTTCTAGTGCCCTAGCATCAAGTAGCTACCCAGGAGTTAGTCAGCTTGTTGAGGGATTGCATCCTGGGCGCAGTCAGTAATTCGACCTTGGGGGAAGGGGGGGAACTTCGATATAAACCTAACGTGTATGCATACACTCTGGCTGCCTGTCCCCTGCCAAAACGAATTATTATTAAATTATTATACTTTGGGTATCAACAACGTATCAAGGTCAACAATGCCAGCAATGAGGTCATAATTAACCAAATATAGTACGCTCTTGTGGTATTGTTCTTCTGTAACTACAGTTCCTAATGCAGTGTAATAGAAGTCAGCGAATTATCGTATTCCATTATGTATTTCATAAGCAAAGCATGAAACAGATTCGCAGTATTTGTTTATATTATTTCCAAACGTGTTTAACATATATAAAGTTAGTGTACCCGGTTGTGCCCGGGTCTCTCTTCTCCCTCCCCCTACCTTCTCTCATCTCTCTCTTCCCCTATCCCCGGTCTCTTACCCTCTCTACCTTCCTCCCATCATACTGAAGCGTAGTAGTTAATGGCTTCATTAAGTGTAACACCTGAACCTACAATTGTCCCTTTATCTCATCTTCTTTGTACAGTATGCACATTCTTATGAATAAAATTATTATTATTATTATTATTATTATTATTATTATTATTATTATTATTATTATTGTCTTACCACGTCGCTTAAATTACATTTTGATGAAATTAATGTGATAATGTTCATTTTTATTGCATTTGTTAAAATTTTATGATGTCTATAGGAAACTTGGGTGAACTATATTTTCCAGAAACATAAGACATACTGTAAACTGAAATAATACGCAAGAGATCATCAGCTTAAATTATCAAGTATAGAATGGTGTGGAGAAACTCGACGACATTTATCAATATCACCTAAGGAGACAAGATCTAAAATTTGCATATAAGCTATCAACATATATTCATTCAACAGCCATATAGCTATCACTACCGAGGCAGACTCCATAGGCTTAACAAATCTTAAACAAAGTACTGGTATTGTAAACTTAACAAAAATATGCTGATAATAAAGTCAATCTCGTAACTGAGGGTGCAGATATCAAAGAGTGCATTTGCCTATATCAATGTGCAATGTTGCATGTCCTCATAAGAAGGGCGTAAAGTGTGGTGTGTGGGGGAAGAGTGCGTAAGGTTGATTTTGAGCGTGAATCCTCGTACTCACAATGATTTTGCTGACTGGATGTTCCCATCATTAGTAACAATAACTCATAGCTCGTTGGTGCCTTTCTGTAGCACAGTGGCTTCCCCATCCTGTCAAAAGCAGCATTATTTCACAACTCACTTGATAAAGATTTCGATATTTTCCAGGAATGAAATAATAACATTATTTTCTTACCATATAATTTTACTAGTGACCTGTATAAAAATATTCCAAAAAAATAATATTTGTATCAAAGCTGATGAGGCTTGGAAAGATGAACTTATAAACTACCCATAAAGTGGGTAGTCTTGTGTCAACAGATATTAACAATAATGTGAGATAATCGTTCACTCACAGATATTAAAACTACTTGTAGTAAGTAGAATGCAATTTGACATTAACTCAGCTGTTGTGATCTCATTTAGCCATACATAGGACCAAATATTATTATTATTATAATATAACTTGTCAAACTCAAATGATATTTAGCATTATATTATCAAGTTTAAGTGCAATGATTCTCAGCACTATTTGTTGTGTTTGCCGTTGATAAATACTGCAAAGTACATATGCGAACCAAGGACACGAGGCTTCTAAGATTTTGGAAACCTTCAGTAATCTCAATTTTAGGCTAGATAAATGTAAATATCTACCACATCTCTACATATAACTATACAAACATATTATATATATATATATATATATATATATATATATATATATATATATATATATATATATATATATATATATATATATATATATATATATATATATATATATATATATATATATATATATATATATATATATATATATATATATATATATATATATATATATATATATATATATATATATATATATATATATATATATATATATATATATATATATATATATATATATATATATATATATATATATATATATATATATATATATATATATATATATATATATATATATATATATATATATATATATATATATATATATATATATATATATATATATATATATATATATATATATATATATATATATATATATATATATATATATATATATATATATATATATATATATATATATATATATATATATATATATATATATATATATATATATATATATATATATATATATATATATATATATATATATATATATATATATATATATATATATATATATATATATATATATATATATATATATACACACAACTACACAAACACCTATACACAGACACTTTTGCAAGAATATTTTTAAACACATCTATACGAGAAGTTCTATATACGCACCACATCTCTACATATAACTATACAAACACCTATACTCAGACACTTCGGCAAGTACATATTTAAACACATCTATACGAGAAGTTTACATACAAACCTATGGATATTTACATTATTCATAGGAAATGTAGGAAAAAGTAACACGCTTCCGTCTGATATTATGGACTTGTCGACTGCATAATGAACCTATCGACGGTAAGAGTACGATAGTCCTGTCGAAGTTCCTCAGCAGGACTGAAGAACCTCGACAGGTTCAACACTTCTTTTGAGGAACCTTCAACACTTCATATCAGAGGAAGCAAGTAATTATCAAAAAAAGGCGCCCAGCCATATCAGACGAGACCTTGTTACTTACTGCCTATTTCCATAACGAGATAAATAAATGCATTTATTTTCCAAGATGCGTTACTGATCAACTTTATAAATACAGTATACATATACTCACACATAAATACATATACTGTCTTATATCCACATATACGCCTACACATGCATACGTATAAAGGGAGCTTTCTGTATACTTACCTTAAAACCTCTTTTGATGAGTACATCGGTGACCTCGCTGGTGGCAGAGGTGGACATGATTCCTCTTGCGAAGACCTTCACTTTGGCGGGCGGGGGAGGTCAACTGGGGAGAAAACAAGGTCCTGGCTCTTGAAGAATGAGCCACTGTGACTTTACAGGAAAGTCCACGATGGTGTCAGAGAGCGGGGCCTCCCTGACGTCACAAGGGTAGGGGCCTCGATGGTGTCACAAGAGTAGAGCCGCGATAGTGTCAGAAGGGTAGGGCCGCTATGGTGTCACAAGGGTAGGGCCTCGATGGTGTCACAAGGGTAGGGCCTCGATGGTGTCACGTGGGTAGGGTCGCGAAAGTGTCACAAGGGCAGAGCCGCGATGTCACGGGCTGGGCCACAACGGTGTCATATGAGGGCCACGATGGTGTCACGAGAAGGGCCACAAAGGTGTCAGTGGCTACGTTAGTGCTATAGGAGGGCCACGGCGGTCAAAGGGCACGACAGTATCACAGAGCAGGGCTAAGTTGGTGTCACAGGAGTGCCACGATGGTATCATAGGGCCACGATGGCATCACAGAGCCACGATGGTGCCACAGGGCCACGATGGTATTACAGGGCCATGATTGTATCGCAGGGCCGCGATTGTATCACAGGGCCACGATGGTATCAAAGGGCCACGATGATATCACGACCACGATGGTATCACAGGGGCCACAATGATGCCACAGGAGCAGGGGCCACGACAGTACACCAAGGTAAACAACACAATTCTCCTACAATTACAAGGCCAAGCTTGTGCCACGGGGAATGAATCACATTGACGTTACAGGGGAAAGGCCACGGTGTTCAGTCACTACTTAATTCCAATCACACAAAATTTCAAATTCACGAAGAATGACCTGCAAGTTCCGGCACAACTCTTTAAAATATTACAGAATCCACCAGCTTCAAGCTCTGATAAAATAATGCATTTGTATACTGTACAAAAACGGTTCACAGTTGATTTTTTAGCTTTAAGTGACGATGAGAAGACTAATTCCAAGTCGGAACTAGGTTACTATTGATGTCCCGTCGAAGTGTCCAATACTGCATCGAACTCTACTGAACTCTATACTCTATTCTGTATTCGCTACAAATTCAAGGTCTGTACTCTGGTACACGTTCGAGTCATATGCCTCTCTCAATTACACGGTGGAGAGGAACGATTTGATTCCAAGTTTCCTTATGTCCTGTCCAGGCTCGAGAGCACCTGGATGCCACTCTTATTGTGTGCTGATGCCAACTGGCTCTTCTGTCCAGGACCTGCAACGGATCAGCCTGAGTTGGGAAGTGTGCATGTAAAAAATGGTTACTTTCACTGGCAAAAAAATTACACTGAAAAGAAGGTTATTAGTATGAAATATTGTTCTATTAAATTTAAAACTCTGAACTTAGCAACAGCAGCAATTAATAATATATTGTGAATGCTAATACAATCGTGGAATATAAATTCCACGAATTAAAATAACATCACTATTTTTAGTATTAAAATTGCAGCAAAATGGACCACGAAACGTCATTATGGTGGAACATTTTATGGTCATTTGTTCATATATGTGTGTATATATGAAGAGCGAATTTCAACGGGCAGAAAAGATAAAGTGTAATGGCAAGCCTCCAGAAGCCACGCGGCAGCTGATTACAGCCAGTAACAAGGTCTAAAAAGAGCCTAGCCCAAAATACACCTGTGCCGTGATCGCCTCTCAACTCAATTTTGGAACAAATTTCCTATTCAATGATAAAATCTAAGATCCAGCTGACGTTATAATGCTTACTTTTATGTGGACGCCACTGTATTTTTCTTGGGAGTTACACAATTCACACATTTCAATATTGCAGCCCGTGAACGAACGAGCTCTCACACAAATGGAAAAATGCCTTGGATTAAATATGAAGACCTTCCACAGCTCTCTGAATATACTTTTGGTAAATGGTTACCGCAATAAATAAAGACAATTTTAATTTAGAGAAGTTAAAAGCAACTGCGATAGCTTGGTACAAGTTTATAAGCCCCAAATAATGCCAGGATTGCCACACAAAATGTTCCTGTTAACAAACAACATAATGACGATGGTAATGATGGAATATAACCACCCAGTTACACTTACAAATTATCAAAATTACTGTTTCATATATAGTTTCATAACCTGCAGAAAAGGAAACATCGAAATACATAATGCTAAAGCAAAATATCACAGGAAAAAGGATAAACATATATACAAAGTACCAAATCGCTCCTAGACACATACTGTATCTTGAAATGTTTTCTATGTATCTGAAACGTCTGTCAACACCATAATAAAAGTTGGACACGTTAACAAGAACCCATACATGTTATTCTTAGAACGTCGCATTTTTAACCTAGCTTAATTAACAAAGGCTCCTCGAAATTTCACATCACATTTTGGTAACTACACTCACATATCCAGTAGTTTATTAAATAACGGCCTGTGTATCCCTATCAATATATATATATATATATATATATATATATATATATATATATATATATATATATATATATATATTGCAAACAAAAAATACATTTAGAATTTCGTGCCACATTTTTTTTTTTGGCCTCAATAGTTGTATCTGAAATCCATTATCCTTACTGATTTTCGCATGTAGATGAGTCGGCTTACACCACATGAACTTCTCTTGATTTATCAAGAGGGAGTAGCTTGCCACGTACACAAGAGCGCCCACAAGAGGCCGAAGAGCCAGGTGGTATTACCGTAGAGGCACACGAGGGAGAGAAGGTCTGCCTGGCGTCTCCCGGGTTTGTTTACGTGACGTGGACGGCTGCCGGCAACCCAAATACACCTTTCTATTTACACTATATTTTCTTCCATGCTGATATGTATGTGGTGAATTACAGTTATACATTGGCATTCATCCGTAATGTTTTACATATTTGCCATTAGGTTAGATGAATATGGCTTACAATAATGTTATTTAGCAATGTTTTCATGATGCCAAACATCTGGCAGGCTGGCCGCATCATTGACGTTTAAAGAGACAATTGAACGTTCTAAATTAAATGACAGGTATTTACCTGCAAATAAACACGGAACAATTTCCGCCCATATATCTTGTAGATATGAAAATGTTGTATTGATAACCAATATTAGAGTAACGAAAATCAAACAAAAATGCAATGCTTCAGTCTTAAAGTCAGCAACAATTTAATAGCGTGCAACTATGGGGGCGCCATATTTGAAATATTCATCGCAACACTATTCTCACATGCGATACATATATTTACATCCTGTAGATGGTTGTTTATTGTGCACCCCATATTCATCTTCCAGGTTGTAGTTTATTGTGCACCCCCAGCAGTAGCTTGTTGCATTCTTCACATTCATGCTATGAGCGGTAACTTTTTTGCACCCAAACTCCTGTGAATGATAATTAGCTTTGCACCCTCACCCTGCGTGTGCAGCAGTTTAATGTGCATTCATACTCATTCTGTGAGTGGTAGTTCATTGTGCACCACTTACTTATCATCTGAGCAGTTTTGTTGTGCACTTCACTTATACTGTTAGTGGTTGTATTTATAATTAACAGTGATGTTAAGACTACTCAGTAGCTCGATCAATAAAACTTTGGCATCACACGGGTAGGGTCCATGATTCAAGAGTCCTACAGCCCAGGTGAAAGGAAAGTGGTGTATCTCTTCATTTGTTTACCCACAACTATTATAAGGTTGCTTCTTCACTGTCTTATTTATGGATGTTAATGGATCCATATTCCACAATATTGTTCGTCTTGCTCATATCCTTTTCATCTAATAAGCATACTGTACAATATTTACTACATCAGCACGTTCCTCACATGACTAAATGTTCTCATTATTATCTTTCACCAAAATTCATTTGTACATTATCTTTATATTCTCATAACCATATTTGGAACTTATATTGATCATAATAAAAAATGCTGTACTACAGCATTTTTTTTGTCATATAAATAATTGGTTGATGATATAAAAGATACAAGTGTAAATGATGCAATAAATAACAGCTGTTTAATATTAACATTTATTTATTTCACTTATACTGAAACACATTACACTGTAACGTTAAAAGATTTAACCTTTTTCTTCTTTTTTGGAGAATCTTCAAACATGTCATCGCTAATTACAAGATTCTCTGCACTTGAGTCTGTATTCACTTCTTTCTGTCGTTTAGATTTTTTTACTTTCTTTTTGTGTGTAGTAGAAGTGTTTAGAGATGAATCAATATCCAATGCTTCCTTAGCCTGGCTGCCATCATTTAAATCCATTGATTCACGCCGCTTCTTCTTTTTCTTCTTCTTTGCACTGTGCGTCAATGTTTCATCCACTCCCTTGTCGACTGTATTTTTGATTACTTCAGATTCCACTGCATTATCTGTCATAAGAAATCAATATGTTAACACATGATATCCATGATATCCATCTTTTATATTTCTCTGTAGTGCCGCTAAAAACTTAAATAAAAAAAAAGAGGATATTAATGTTACAAGTAAATGCAAAAGCAAGATACAGTGCAGAACTTACATATTAACGAAGATATTAACACGAGAATAGAAAGACATATACAGTACAGTACTGTACTTTGCTACAGTTAAGATATTCGAGTCACCAAGGCAAATATCTAATGACTGTAGATTTAAGATCATTATCTCAAGATAACCTCAAGAAAGGCAAAAACAATTTATGGACATCTTCAAGATCTGGGCACTTAACAAGGTGCATAACCATGTGAAACAAGACAACTTGGGCATTAAGAGAAGGTAGGGTTTCTTTCCATCAAACTACCATGAGTCAACCTAGTACAGTATGGCTAAAAGGCACAAGGCCAAATAACTCCTATTTCTATTTCATCTTATCTTGAGACTTTTTCAGGCTTAACGTCCCTGCGGTCCGGTCCTAGACCAGGCTTCCAATTTGTTACACACCCCCAGGACGCAGCCTGTAGCAGCTGTCGAACTATTTACTACTAGGTAACAGGAGCATCAGGGTGAAAGAAACTCTGCCCATTTGTTTCCACCTCCACTGGGGATCGAACCCGGAACCTCAGGACTACAAATCCAAAGCGCTGTCCACTCGGCTGTCATGCCCACTTCACTAAATTTATTTGACAAATCTACCAATTTAATTCTGCATCATGCAAATAAGGCTGAATATGACCCAATAGTAATCTGTGAAAGGAATAGATCAGAAGATCTTGCTTTTAAAGACCACAATGAAGTAGCTGTCACAACTGCAAGAAAAATGACAGGTTGGATAACAAGAACCTTTCAAACAAGAGATGCCATACAAATGATATTTTTTAAGACACCAGTGCTCTAAGATGGAATATTTTTGTCCCATTCAAAGCTGGAAAACATGCAAAGGTCTTTTAGTGTCAAAATCCACTCAATAAAACATTAAATTGTTGGGACTGCTAAAAAAATGTAAATCTTTATTCTCTAGACTGAAGGTGAGAGATACATGATCTACAATTGGAAAATATTAGAGGGTCTGGTTCCAAATCTGCACACAGAAATAACTCCATATGAAAGGTATGCTGAGAGAGAATTATCAACATCAAGACTTTTTCAACACCCCCCTCCCACTACACATAAGGGGCATAACTGGCTGACCTCTCACAGTGTTCAAAAGAGAACCTGATAAACATCAGACTACTGTACCAACCAGGAGGCCTGGTCAGAGACTGGGCTGTGGGGACATTGATCCCCAGAACCATTAATAGGTAGATAACAAGTAGGAGGCACATCGGCACATCTATTAAATTTATCTTACATAATGACTGAGATTATACATGATTACTGTTATCAAATATTCTGCCACGATAAGATGGGAACACACTTGCTCAGAAATGGAAGAAAAGTCTTGACGAAAAAAAAAAAAAAAGTCAGGCTTTGAAATAAACAGAGTTAAAAATCTATCCTTAGCCATGAAAATGCATAGGAAGAAACTTATTCTTGATCCTGAAGTACCCTTCAATTTTAGTGTCACTAAGAAGCAATATAATACAAAAACTGGTCATATCCAAAAAGGTGCTAAAGAACATTTCTATTTCTACAAAATAGTACTGCATCAGAGCCTATTTTTTAATTTATTTTACAGTAATATGCATTTTTTGGTACACGTACAACATTAATGCTTAAATACAAATGCCGTTTCAAGAGGAGCCTTCTACACTCACCTATGCTACTCCAGAAGTTCCTCTCTTTTATATCTGTCGGTGGTTTGTGCTGAACACACCTAAGGTCATCTATATTTATTCTTGAATGATTGTCAAGGTCTCCAAGCTGGCCTCTGATCATCACACGACCCTTGACCATCGAGTTGACTGAAATTAGACATAATGTAAAATATTTTAATAACTGTAATAAGTTATTAAATTTGTATTGTAGTATGTATCTAATATTTCTGAAACATGCATCAGTGTTACAACAATTATGAAACTAGAATTAAATGAACCTTTCCGATACAAACCTGCGTGTAATTCACCCTTTTCATCAGGAAGAAAAAGGGTGGAAGTGTCATCCGCAGAAGAATTTTCACAAGTCACAATTCTGTATTGTTGTTTCTGCACAATAAGGTTTTGCTCTTTTGTACCACCAATAACTATGTGTGCATTTACCAGGTTCAGTGGATCTAACTGAAAATCAAGAAAACCATTTTAAATCATGGGTGGCAAAAAATGGGTTTCCAGCATATCTTGGTATACACATAGGGCCATGTAACGAGTAAGGGATGGAGGAGGGGTTAGATTTTGGATAAGGAAACAGATAAAAATAGTGGAAGGGGTGGGAGGAAGAGGAGGAAAATGTGAAGGAGGAAGAAAAGAAAAAGGTGGAGCAGCAGAAACACGTGGAGGAAAAGGGGCTTGCCTAACAGTGTCTACCTACTGATTAAAAAGAAGTGAGGTCTAGCTACTATGCCCTACTTAATGGCCTTGTTGCACCTGTTACTGTATATTATAATTTTAACTTTCCTGACATTAAAAATTTAGGGTCAAAACTGACCTTACAGTTGTTGGAGGTGGCTTCCACAACTACAGTACTGTACTTCTTTCAGTACATTCCACTTATTAAATACCCACACAGGCTATGAGTACTTCCTTCCATTTTTAGTACATTTATTTATATTATCAGCTTCCAGATATGTTCTCTTGCTCTATTTCCAATTTAGAGGCTTTTTGTATGTAATAATCATTTTCCCTATGTTCTCTCGTCTAGATTTGTGCTACTGTGTTCCTGTAACCATATTGCTGTTCAAGGCAATCATGGTTGCCCCACAAAAAATGGGATGATGATGTAATTGACGACCTCAATCCAAGAGCCATAGCTCTTGCGTTTTCACAAGGGTTACATCAGGCATCATCTATATGTGCACAGAAAAATAGTATTCAAAACAAGGTTTTTGTCTTCCTATATTATTAAAAATCATGCCTTGAGAATAGGATAAATGCCTAAAAAATCTTGTCACTTTTCAAGATGGCTTTGGTACCGTCTTTTGATAATCACCTACTTTTCAAGATGGCAGATGTTTATTGCAGACCTCAAATATCAGTTTGGAACACCCTGTAACGGCAAAGTTTCAAAAGTTGCGCAAAAATCCTAAAACATTCTAGGATGATATACCAACCCGTCCTCTCACCTAATACATCTCATTTTGTACATTGCCAGCAGTGTTAAATGTTATGCAAAATACCTAAAACATTCTAGGATGTTATGCCAATCTGTCCTCTCAATTAGCATGTCTAATTATGAAAGTTATGGTCCCAGTGTACAAAGACAAAATACAAAATACTGTACAATGAAAAGAAGCAGCTCTCAAATATCCTTGTTTTCTATGCATCAGTAGGTTAGGTGCATTGCTTTTGTTTGTACATTTCTGGTTATTTTAGCAATTTGTACAATGTGGCAATCAAGAGAATGGACAAGCATCTTAAGACGGTATGCACATTTCAAGAGTTAAAAACCTTTCACCTACTTGTCAAGGACATAAATTCCAAGACAATACTCCAATTTAAAATTTGTCTGGAAAACATCCTCAGGAATAATGGGGTTGCTTTAACAAGCTGCCAGCATCTCATCCTTGCCGAGGCCACTAGAGTTAACGGCCTTCAGATAAATTCAGGAAAATGCAATGTTCAACCAAATTCACTGACCTTGATAACAGGTACTGTAATTGAAACTGGTAAATGCTGCCATCTGTTCTTGATACAAATAAAATGTCACCCCTTAAGCAATACTGACAAGAATTTGCAAAAATTACTTTTATAAACCTCACACTTATAGCCATTTCTAATTTGTATAATTATGGTATGTGCTACGTTTTACATGGTAATCCTTCATAATTTGATGGTTCTAAGTTGCCTTTTACATGGTTAAATATTGTATTGCAATGTCCATAATACTTGCACTTCCATGAGATTTATTTTTATAGGTCACATAGTTTAAGGGTTAATAATCATGAAAGGTGTTTCAAGTTTAAACTCAGTTTGAAAAAGTATGAGCTACATTTAGTTTTTCAAATATGTGTATCACCTTTCAAACTGTAAACTAAATGTTAATCACTTTATGCTGAAAATGCAAATCTGATTTGGATAGCTGCATACCTGATAATTCAGCCATAATTGTAATGATTTGTTAAGTTGTTATAAATAAAGTTAATGATTCTGATTCCATTTTCATGACATTGCATATTAATAAATACAAATAAATAGGGCTTCACTGCCCAATTTCAATTGGAACTTGTGTAAATGCAACAAAACTCATTGTTTTAAGTCAATACAATGGTAATCTAATAAATAGTTAATAAAAGGGGCAAAACCCTAAGTTATTCTACAATAAAAACAAACTAAAAACCATTCACTTACAGTTTTACTTGGTATTGCAAAAATGTACAATTCTGTATTGGAATCCAAGTTTTGCACCTTAGCAGCGCCCGGCTCCTCAAGGAAACTATAATCATCTGGTTTATTGGTTACCTTACTCAAAATCTGCAAAAAATAAAAGAATGATAATAAAAAATAAATAAATTATTGCTTTTACACAATACATTTGCTTTGATTTATGAAGAATTAATACCATGGAAAAAATATACTGTATATAAATAAGCCTTGCATTATCAATTTGATTTCTCTGGTTTTTAGTATTACTGACAGGGCTAAAAAAGTATTTTCACGCAAACAGGAATTCACAAAAAACGACCAACAATTTGATAGCTTTATAACTAAGAGATGGATATTCTTTTTGGAGTGATATCCAAAATTGAGACAATGATTGCATTTTATGTCTGGACACCAGAGTGACATCACAAGACAATCAGCTTTTCTTTTTCATGAGGATCAAGTGCACATGATTTTATATCTTCCAAGAAGGGATTATTAATCCAGAGATTATTCAGAGATTATCTGAATAATGTCTCTAATCCAGAGATTATCCAGAGATTAATCCAGACAAAGCAATACTTTGTATCTTACCATGTATGGGGCCTCGAAGCCTGGTGGATAGCGCGCAGGGCTCGTAATTCTGTGGCGCGGGTTCGATTCCCGCACGAGGCAGAAACAAATGGGCAATGTTTCTTTCACCCTGAATGCCCCTGTTACCTAGCAGTAAATAGGTACCTGGGTGTTAGTTAGCTGTCACGGGCTGCTTCCTGGGGGTAGAGGCCTGGTCGAGGACCGGGCCGCGGGGACACTAAAGCCCCGAAATCATCTCAAGATAACCTCAAGGTGTATGTATGTACCTTACCTGAATAAAAATTTATTTATTTATTTATTTATAGATTACCTTTATGAGGATCTTCATTTTCAGGGAAATAATTATTAAAGTTTTCAGCTAATGGCCTTAAATGTTGATTTATTATGTTATATATGACTTTCTGGCTGACATTAGCAGCATTGAAAAATTCTACCAAAAGTGGAAACATTTCTGTATCTTCCTCTTGTATGCAACTATCCCAAAGAGTCATTTTTTTTTAATGCATCCATTTTATTTTCCAGTGTAAAAATATTTGTACAAGACCCCTGAAGTTCATTAAGAATATTAAGTTCATTAAGAGTGCTAAATACATCCACCATACACTAAAGCTTAGCCATCCATTCCTTATTCAACAAAGACTCTTCTAGATCAGATTTTCACTCTCACAGAAACTGCAATATTTCTTCCCTCAGTTCAAAAAGGCATACAAGACCCTTTCCTTTCAATAACCACCTCACTTCTGCATAGAGAAGGAAATGTTGGTGGTGAGTCCATTCTCTCAAGCAGCATTGTGAGAATATCCCAACACTGCAACAATGCAGTGCCCGAATCATGAAGTGGCTATATGATTGCCTAACCTAACACAGCCTAACCAAAGCTAATACATTCTAACGTAACAATATACAGTACAGTACAAGTACAGTTCAATCCCCGACTGTCCATGTGGTTGGTTACCATTCCTTCCCACCTGTCTCATCCCAAATCCTTATCCTGACCCCTTCCAAAGTGCTATATAGGTGTAATGGCTTGGCATTCTTTATTGATAGTTCCCTTCCCTTTGGAATACGAGCTTTGTTGAATCGTCTCGTGAATGACTTAACTGTACCCATTTTCACAATTACAAAATGAACTTTGTCGAGATGCCTGTTCTCAAAGAGTTATACAAGAGTTCTCACATTCTTGTAAGGCACGCATTGCATTTTGGGCAGGTCCTTAATTCAAATTTTTCCCCAGAATACGACCTGGCAATTCGTTTAACAAGCAGGTACCCATTCACTGCTGGGTGAACAGAGGCATACAGTTAAGGATGGACGCCCCAGGCCAGAATGCTCGCGAAGTGCTGGGTGAGTGTTTTACCAATGCACAACGGAGACTACATTATACGACAAAGAATACTGGGAAGACGGGACACCCACAAGCATAGCTCTCATCCTGTAATTACACTAAAGGTAATTACAATGTGACTGCAAACCTCCAGGTCCCAGTTGCTCCTTGTTTATTATTTTACACACATACAAGAAAGCACAATGGGTTGTGAACGTATACTTGCTGGTGATGATGTGGCAGTCTTACAAAGCCACTAACACCCCACAGCATTTCGGACAGGCCTTAAAAGCTAACACAGAACTTGATACACAAGAGTTTTAAATGACTTTTAATCACGCTTACCCTTTCTGTACCCTTCAATTTTGGTTCTGCTTCATCAGCTTGTGTAAGTTCTTTGTTCTGTGACGGCGCTTCCACACTATCCTCATCAGAGGAATCACTATGCGCCATTATGATATAATAATGTTAAGTGAGGTGCATGAGGGTCGGCGGCCAGCTGCACGTGTCTGTGTTTACCTCCACAAGTCTTCCAAGTTCCAACTCTTAACTTGACTCTTACTCGAAGAACCTATCACACCTCTACCTAAAAATAGTCTCATACATAAGTTTTATTTGTAATTATTTAGTTAAATTCATTTTAGATTTTGGGGTTCAGTTCCTGTGACCCCCTCTCTCGCTCGCTCTCTCTCTCTCATTTTATATATAAATTTATAAATAAACTTTTTATTTATATGGTCGGGTGTTTAACAAATGAACAATAACAGTCAATGTTATAATATTTATCTGCTGTTGAAGGTTCCCAAGTTGCCTTGATGATCTGTTCTATAGGTATACAGTAGTCTAAAACTCAACACAGGTTTGGCATTTACGGCTACGGCGGGTAGGCGGTTCCATGGGTTGATAACCCTGTGGGTGAAAAAGCATCTCCTATTCTGAGTTCTATATTGTGGCTTATTGACCTTGAAACCGTTGCTCCTTGTTTGTGTTACATCTGACGTTTTGAAGAAAATATCCGGATCCGAATTTACCTGACCCCTCAGGTAAATTCAGGTAAATGCAGGTCACATGGGAGAGGTTCATTCATGGTGTCTCACATACAGGTCACATGGGAGAAGTTCATTCGTTCATTTCATTATTATGCACCCCATACCCATGCCGTGGGCGGTGGTGGAAAGAGTTACAGAGGCACATAAATGGGGTCAGGAAATGAACCCCAGAGTTATAATAATAATAATAATAATAATAATAATAATAATAATTTATTTAGAAAAAATACATACATAGATGCAGAGTTACAAACATACTGTTGGATTTAAGATAGAGCTAGTACATATACAATACCTAAAGCCACTAATACGCATAGCGTTTAAGGCAGTTCGTTTAGTGACAATCAATTTAGTGACAATGATTGTCAGCAAGTGACAATCTTGTGAAGCTTGAACAGTTGTTAATATTACATATACATGTACATTTACACACATCCATGTATATATATCCTTGCACAGGGAAGAGAGAGATAGATAGAGAGTCAAGTAAGGTTTTAGTTCATTTATTATGCACCTCATCCCCATCCTGTGGGCGGTAGAAGAAAGGGTTATAGAGGCACATAATGGGCTCAGGGACTGAACCCCACAATTCACTTAGCTAAACAAGTTACAATCTTGATGAGCTAGTTACAAAATAGTCAAGTAAGGCTGTGTTAGGCTGGGGAGCCTCGGGGTGTGAACGTAGCCGAGGCGGTGTGAACGCGACCAGTTGGGAGGTGAACGCGGCCGCTGGGAGGAGGTAGCTGAGTGAGTCAGTGTCAAGTGTGAGGGAAGTGTGTCCGTGTTGGAGGGCCTCAGTGTCGCCTGGGCCGTCTGTATCCTGGTGGAGGGGTGTTGTGTGAGGTGAGAGGTGAGGGCAGGCGCGGGTGTGGTGGTGCAGATGACAACTACTGGTGGCAGTAGGGGCATCTGCCACGCCATCTTCACAGCCTCTCAAACTATTTCGTTTTGTTGATGCTCTTGGGGAATATTTTTGTGTGGTTGTCTTTCTCTGGCAAGTTAGGTCTATTAAATAGCGGTGTGGGATATTAGTATTTCGTATATGATGTTTTATGTATTGTAACTGCGTCGGAGAGTCGTATACACGATGACATTACAGTTTAAGATTGGGCAGTTGGCACTCGTAATTATGTGTTATTGAAAAATGTCTGTCAGATACGATTTCGTTTTAATAATTTATTATGCTCTCTCTACCCATCCTGTGGGCTGTAGTGGATTTGTTATATTTAGGCACAGAATGAGCTCAGGAACTGAACCCCAAAGTTTATTTATTTATTTTATTTATTTATTTATATATATACAAGAAGGTACATTGGGATTGTGAGGATACATAGCATAGTAATTACATTCTTGTAAAGCCACTAGTACGCTCATTTAACTATGTTCATTTAACTTTTATTTACATTTAAAGTTCTTTTATTAACATTTAAAGTTAATTTAACTAAGCAATTTAAACTATAACCCACTTATCAGATTGTAATGTGTATATATATATGTCATTAGTTATTAATAGCACAATTGGTCGAAGAACTGGACAAGAAGTCTTCAAGTCAGTCAGTTTACATGTGTGGTGAACAAGTTGCATCCCGGGGTGGGACAAATACTTGGGTGCATTTCCTATCACCTAATGCACATGTTCACCTAGCAGCAAGTAGATACTCAGTAGTTAGTCATCTTGTTGAGGGGTTGCATCCTGGGCGGAGTCGGTAATTCCTCCTCGGGGAGAGGGGGGGCACCTCAATATAAGCTTAACGTGTATAAATCACTCCGGCTGCCTGTCCCCCAACACCATAAATTAATTACAAATTATATTTACATTAATCTAGCACCCGATCCTTATCCAGTGGTGGAGGAAGTTTAGAACCATCTGCATGCACGACCTACAGGAAGAAAATTTTGGATACTTGTCTAAAATTTGTAATAAAATAATCTCTGACTTCTGAGATTTTTTACATTCAGTTACATAGCGATGTAAGATATGTGAATACAGAACTACTGTTAACAGTTTACATTTGATCAGGTCTACTCTGGCAAGTGTTGTAAATTAACAGAGATACTTTTAGGCCATAGGCCTTGTAAGCCTAGGCCTAGCAACAGTAATGTCTAACGTTCAGGTTCGATCCCCGGCGGAAGCGGAAATGAATTGGCAGAGAATCTTTAACCCTGATGCACCTGTTCGCCTAGTAGTAAATAGGTACCTGGTAGTTAGACAGCTGCTACGGGCTGCTTCCTGGGGATTGTGTGTGTGTGAAAATTAGGTTTCGGGACTTGACTAAAATGTTATGTCTGCTAGTGGCTGTACAAGAATGTAAGAACTCTTGTATATATAAATAAATAAATAAATTGTCTTGAGTGCAATAAAGGATGAGTTGCTTCCCAAGTTTAAGCAATTTTGAGATTATAAAATACATCCCAAAAGGAAGGGGGGGAGAGAGAGAGAGAGAGAGAGGAGGATGGGGAGAGAGATAGAGAGAGATGGGGGAATGGAGAGAGAGAGAGATGGGGGAATGGAGAGAGAGAGAGATGGGGGAATGGGGGGAGGGAGAGAGAGAGAGAGATGGGGGAATGGAGAGAGAGAGAGAGATGGAGGAATGGAGAGAGAGAGAGAGAGAGATGGAGGAATGGAGAGAGAGAGAGAGAGAGATGGAGGAATGGAGAGAGAGAGAGATGGAGGAATGGAGAGAGAGAGAGAGAGAGATGGAGGAATGAAAGAGAGAGAGAGAGAGAGAGAGAGAGAGAGAGAGAGAGAGAGAGAGAGAGAGAGAGAGAGAGAGAGAGAGAGAGAGAGAGGGGGGTGGGGGAATGGAGAGAGTGAGAGATGGAGGAATGGAGAGAGAGAGGGGGGGGAGGGGATGGAATGAATGAATTGAGAGAGAATGAATGAGAAGAGAAAGAGAGAGGGGGAGGGGATGGAGAGTGTTAGTTGACAATGACAGACAATAATTGTCTGTCATTGCCCACAATATTCATATGCATACATGTAGGAAACTTTAAGCAACAGTTAAATGTCTATTGTATATTTTCAGGTGCATACTAATATTGTATATAGATTTAAAGTGACAGATGATACCATGTGAATAGTGGATGTATTGAGTAAGTGTAAGGATGTGCTGGGGTGCTTATGATGAGATGTATGCTAATATTTGTGTGATAGTACAAGCACTATCTTTAAGAATGTCTTATCATATCATAAGCCTTATCTTACACAGAATTAAGTGATAAGTACTGGTAAATGATGCTACCTTCTGAAGATGAGAGGCAAAATATACAATTATAATATGAAAAGTTAACAGTATGTTATCCTGTAATATAGAATAATTTAATCTAAATGACATGCAGGGTAAATACTATCACATTCTTCCATTAAGATTTTTGCTAATAGTAAGCGAACATAGCAGATAAATGAATACTTCTCATCATCACTAATTGTTACACTACATGATCTTAATCTCAGCCATAACGATCAGGAGGTCTTGGTACCCGGCAAACGTTCTAGGTCTCCTTGGAGAAGGTGGGACGTTGTCACTGGGTATTCCACATGGCATTTCAAAATCTTGAATACTGTACTGTACTAGGTGTAGTTGGGGGGTCCATGCTTCTCGTCCCAATGTCATAATTTGGAGATGGTTGATTCTTGTGATCAGACCCAACATCATGCTGCTTCTTCAGAGCTGTCGAACTAGTTGGACATGAATGGAGCCAAACCACAGATAGATACTGTAGATCGTCATCCATCCAGGTGCCCAGTACATGCATGAATTGGATTTACATCAATGAGCTCAACCTTGGTCATCTAGAGGGCCAATCATATTAAACTGAACAAGACATCGAAGTAGCACTGGACCAGTGAACATAAGCCATAATCAAATTCATTGAGTCAAGTGCAGCTGAAATCTAAAAAAAAAAAACACTCGTGGGGTTGTATTAGTTGAAAAAGGTAAAACAGTTCTAATGGAGTGTAGTGCATCTGGAAGCACCAATTCCCAATGTTTTTCTGGTAGATTGTGAGACTTCAATGTTAGGTGAATAGCCATATGATACCATTTGACCTGTGCATTCCCAGTGGGATGGTAGGGCATTGTCCTTGTTGGACACCCTTTTAAGAAAGGTATGTTTATTATTATCTTTATTGATAAAATATACAATTTTGCCTAATCTGAGTAATTCACCTAGGTCTTATTACTGTTAGATGTTGGTCATAACATATAGATCGAAAGTTATTCTTTGCCCATATAAGAAGTAAAACCAAAACTAAGGACTCGATAGGACGAAACTAACCAAGTTGTAATGGATGATAAAGGGCAGGAAACACTTTGAATGAATACTTTACATCAGTGTTCACACTATAAAGATTAGATGACATTCCAATACCCACACAAATATATGAAGGAGGTGGAGAGAATGAATTGAGGGATATATCTATAATGTGTGACATAATCAGGAAGAGCTTTGACAAACCAGGCATGTCTCGTGCCCTTACACGAAGCCGTGTAAGGGCACGTGATTGTAAGCCGCCCTTTAGATTATGAACTCACAAAACCCATCCTTAATTTCTTATTTACTGTACATTAGTTGAAACCAGGGATGTAGAACCTATATGCATTTATACACACTTCAAACACAAGAGTGACCACGTGGAGTCAGTACCATATTTTTTAATTTGCGGGACTCGAGAAACAATCAAAGTGTGTTCATTACATTTATTTAAACATTGGGAAAAGAGTATTATACACTAACAAGGAAAAATCTCACTCACTAGATTAACAATTACAGTTCCAGACATATGGATTAAATGGAGGTCAATAACCTTACACAGTGAGGCGAGTACCTCGCAAGTGCACACCACACAACCTGTGTGTGTGGCGTCTCGGTCCTCTCTCTCTTTCTCGTGGAGTGCAGGGACACTATCATGAAAATGCATGGGAAAACTTTGCACACAGAATCATACTCATTTACTAATACATAAGGTATTTACTGTAAGGTTCATTATTATGACTAGTAACTCCTTTCTGAGATATTGTTAATACATTGTTTTGTATTATTTCAGATAGTATGTTGTGAACGGAGTAATAAATTTAGCTGAGAATGGTAGATTAATATGCTTGAATAATCATATTCAGCTTTATTAAACTCAGGTCACAACATACTATCTGAAATAATACAAAGCAAATGTATTAACAGCATCTTTAAGGAATTATGAATTATCATAATAATGAACCATAAAATAAAAACAAATTAGTATTATATTCCAATGAATATGATACTGTACTTAGAAATTCTGTATCACATATTCTGTTCACCAGCTGTTACTCCCAAATATCATTAATACTCCTCTGCTCAGTTCTGTAAAGCAATCCTGTAAACATTGCATAAATTTTACCTCGCCCTGTTTGTATTCAGAGATCTACTGGCCAGGGGATCCCATTCTCTATTTTGTATATTATCGAACCATATCTTTTTATTGTATTAAATGTTCTGTTCTTTGTTTTCTAGCAAACAATAGCAAGATGAGTATCCAGTGGACCTTGATTGCGGGGGTGATGTATGTGGAGCTGGCTGTGACTATTTTGCTCCTTATTCCATTAATCTCTCCTTCTAGGTATGTATAAAATCATATATCATGTTTCTAGATCTTTTATTTAACTTGGGTGTGTGTGTGTGTGTTAACTCAGGTCATGTTAAATAAGGTTCACCTATAGCTCAAGTACCACAAGGCATTTGGGTGTTATCTACAACATGGGATATTTTGATGTGAGTTCAGCTCCATAGCTGGTACCCCCTTTAAGAAAACAGTTATACTGGTAATTTTGATAATCATATACAGTACAGACTTGTCTAAACAACGGCCACTAACTCTACCTAGAGGAAGCTCTGAAACCCAGTGTGCTCCAAACCCCTCCCTCCTGGTTGATGGTCTGCTTGGTACCTGCTTGATGGAGTTCTGGGAGTTCTTCTACTCCCCAAGCCTGGCCCAAGGCCAGGCTTGACTTGTGAGAGCTTGGTCCACCAGGCCTTGGTCCAACACTTCTGCTTGGAGCGGCTCGTAGGGTAGACCAAACGGTCGAACACCACTACAATCCCCTCACTCTTATTCCTCCTATACACCCCCTATTCTCCACTCACCATGTGCACTCATTCCCACTATCCCTTCCCCATATGCACTTATTCCCACTATCCTTTCCCCATATGCACTCATTCTCACTACCCCCTCTACATATGCACTCATTTTACTACCCACTCCCCATATGCTCACTCACTACCTACTCCCTTTTTCCCCCTCCCACATGCATTCTTTCCCCTCTCTCACATGCATTCTCTTTCCCCCTTTCCACATGCTCTCTTCACCCCACTCCCATAATGCCTGTGGATTATCTGCTCCTTTTATCACACCTTTCATCACATGTTTTTGGTCATCAGTTATACCTTACACAACAAATTCGTGTATAACATCACGTCCTTATATCATTCTTTCCTGTATCTTCCAGATACTGTATAATAATTCTCAAATATTACGAACCATATATAAACATCTATTATGGTGGGGGAGGTGGAAGAGTATGGGTTGCAATGGAAAATTAGAAAGAAAGAGGGGATGGATGTCAGTTAAATGTCTGTCGTATGACGCTTTGAAACTTCTGATAGTTTTGGCACCCACCCAGTTTTCTGATGTGCATCTTGAGGTATAGGCACCATACAACTGCTGCATATTTCATTTTTGGTTACACAAAAGTTGTGAACAGTTTCTTTAATATTTCACAATCTTTGTACTGTATAGTATTTAAAAGTGATTCTTAAGTTGGAAATTGTAGCATATACTCCTTGCACAATGCCATTCATGTGGTCCTCTGGTGACAGTATACAGTAGTATTCAGAACCTTAGATACCTTTCTCTATCTTTGTCATGTATGTGGAGGGATTAGGAAGAGTAGTGTTTATGCACAGAATGAGTACCTATTGTATATACTGTATTTATAAAATAATGTTTAGTATTATTGTTTCAGTAATTCTGTGATACTTTATTATCTTGGTTTAGGTGTATAATTACAATGTAAAGAATGCTTCTCTATAGGGACTATTTATAATGACCCTTTAAAGTGCTGATTAATCTAATGATTCCATTTTTAGGAATGCATCTCCATCGTAAATGAGATAGGCATGTAGGGTAGTTTAAATTAATATTAGGAAAAATCACATCTTGCTTCAGCACTCATTGGCTTCACTCGGTTATAATGTTTAGAGGTTGAGACCCGAGTATGAGGCCAAGCAGAAATGCTGCTGCCAAAGGGTTAATGTTGTCTTTGTATTACATGTTTTTTTGTAAACCATTTTCATATTTTACTTTACATGAGTAAAACAAATTGTGTAATTTTCAGATGGCACACAATCTTCAAGTCCCGCTTTCTTCGCAGTATTGGAAACATGTCACACATTTACTTCAAAGTGTTCCTTGGACTTCTTACTCTCTTCTTCTTAGGTAAGAAAATCAAAGTGTGTTTTCTGGAAGTCCCAGTGGATCCCTGTAGCTTCCACCCTTTGCGGTGCCATTTCCTGTTTGCGAGGCTCTGGCGGTGGATGCTTTTCAACTAGACTAGTTGAGGTTGGGTGCATTTATGTTTTATCCCCCAGTTCATTGGTTGCTCTGGTTTTTGTCAAGATTAGAATTGTTCTCGACGAGGGTGATCCATCTGGCTCCTTGCTAGTTGGCCTATTGGCGACATAACTTTCTGGTCGCCATCTTCCTTCAGTATCAGTTAATGTGTTTTTTTTTTTTCATGGTAGTTTCTCAATTGTATTTCATGCCTAATTCTGTCACTTTTTATCATGCAGCACTGGCAGAGGCATCCTGTTATTGGTTTTTAATGTCATTTCTTCTGTGGCTCCGTTCAAGTTGTCTTGAGTGTATTTTTTTTTGCCTCCAGCTCATTAATGTTGCTTCAGAGTCATCTTGGTCCCTGAACGGGTTCATCGATTTTTTCTCCTTGGTTACATCTACCCCTCCATGTCTACCCCTTCGGTCTGGGTTTCCTTTTTTTTTTTAAGGCTGTCTTGTGGTTTTGCTGGTTCTTGGCTCTAGTTGTCAGGTTGGTGAGCTTCACGTTCTCCAGAGACAGGGGTTCTGCTCATTTGGCCCTGGTGGGCATTTTTTTCATTTGCAACTATTTCTTTTTCCACCAAAGAATGAGTTAGCAGGCTTCCAGAGGGGTTCTTTGGTTATTGCTGTTTGATTGATTTGATTGGGGTGCATCATTTGTTATGTCTGGTGACAGTGATCTGTTGCTACCCGTGTGCTGCCACTTCAGCTTCAGTGGACACTCTTTGGGTTGATCCACTTCTTGATTCCCTGTGCCAAGGAAGGTATTTTTCAGGTTGTCCACAGTGTTATCAACGCTAGTCAGTCTGCAGTCTATCTCCAGGTCCATGATGATCGTAAACATGCTGCTCTTGTGGCAGTCTTTTCTAATGTCATAGGTGGATATTCAGGCTCTGGTTTTGGTGGACTAACAGAGGTCATGGCGGCCAGGTCAGTGTGCCGGAACAAATGTGGACACCTTCAAGAGAAAACTAGATAGTTTTCAAGAAATGCCGGACCAACCGGGCTGTGATGGATATGTGGGCCTGCAGGCTGCTCCAACCAGCAAGTTGGACCAAGCTCTCACAAGTCGAGCCTAGCCCCTGACCAGGCTTGGGGAGTTAAAGAACTCTCAAAACCCCATCCAGCAGGTATCCCTGGTCCTCTTCGGTCCTGTGTTGCCCTAGGTCTTGTTTTCCGGCCGTTGGTATCCACAGTACTTCAATTTAGTGTCTGCTGCCTCTCCTGTCCTTTGGTAAGTCCCTGATATGTTTCCCTTTGGTTATTTAGCTACAGGGAGCCACCATGGGGCTCCCACAGAAACCCAGTGTTAAATGTAATGAAACATCTCTTTCTTGTAGAGCCTCGTTGGCTGTCTCCCTCCCTTCCTTCCATGTTTGTCAGTTTGTGTGGTGTTTATCTGCTCCTGGACTGAACTCTAGGCTACCTAGTGGTGGCATTTGGTACTATGAGTTCTAGCTAGTTTTGTTGTTTTTTGTTTATTTTGTATTTTTGGGGGAGTTATTTGGCAATTTAGTGGTTTTGAGTCTTAGAAAAGCTTTACAGACAACTGCTGGGTTCTCAAACTTTCTGGATGCTTTTCCGGTAAAATGACAGAATGTCCTTTGCTCCCTGCATCTCGTGGGAGGGAGCCATGTTTTGGCTCTGGTCCCTGGTAGTCCAAATGAACTCTTGCAGCTGAAGTGGCTGGTAGACTGGAGCAATCTCAAAAATAGCTACAGGGGCTCTACCTGAGAGATGTTTCATTATATTTAATGCTGGGTTTTGAGGTTGCCAATTCCAGATTTCTTCAGAAGCACACACTATGTACTGTATTGCTAGCTCATTAAGTCATACTTTCCTGGTTCATCGTTTCATTTCTTAAAAAGTTGCCATTTAAAAAAACTCTCATATACTTAGTAAATTTATTGAATTTAATGTGACGTTAATCTGAAAGAATAGAGCAGTGGTTATTCTGGCTGGTGTTAAGCCAATCACATAAAAAAGTGTAAAATAAAGTAAATAAGAATGCTTCTGACTTCTTTACGGTGTGAGAGCTGCGGGTAAATTCCAAAAGAATGAAAAACTTTAAATATTTAATATAACAAAAATGACTTGAACAACAAATAAAACAATTCCCATATTCTTCTTGGCAATATAGAATGCAAAAGAAACAAACATGTGACAGTTACATTAAGGGCAAAGAGAGGTGCAAAACTGAATACAATTTACAAGAAGCTGTACGCATCTACTGTTTCCTGGGAAGGCTACAGTACATGTTACAGCTTTGAGAGCACGAAGGGTATTCTGAGGTCTGGCCGGTGGTGAGCTGCTTATATATGCGGGCCAGACCTAGTGTAGATGGCGCTGATGTGTAGGTAACTATCGCCGGCAGTCTCAAACAAGCAGTTAAGGGCTGGACGACCAGCGAGTGGCACTGGGACCCTGACAACAGGTGTCCAGGTGTCTCGGAAACTTGAGAGTGGAGCGGGTGGTGTCTTGTCTAGACACAGGCTTCTGAGGACGTATTATTGTTGTCGTTGATGTTGATTTCTTATACTGGAATATGCAGATATGTTGTTGAATAGGCGGTAAAGGAATAGGCAGGTTCTCCTTGCCTAAGCAGGAGAGTACCGTAGCACTTGTTAATGCTGCTCACTACTTCTATCATTATTCTTCAGTCTTGGAATACAAAAGAAACATAACCTAAATGTTACCTGTTTTTAATAATATATGGGAGAAAATGCCAAAATTGTACAACTAAGTAAAATTTAAGTTAACAAGATTTGTCAAGTTGAGTGATTTTTTTTTTCATACAGATGCTATTCGAGAAATGCGCAAGTACAGCAGCGAACTCTCTGATCACAGTCGAGGTGACCACGGCATTCATTTGGATGCCGAAATGCAAGCGCACATGAGGCTGTTTCGAGCTCAACGCAACTTCTACATCTCTGGATTTTCTCTCATTCTTTGGGTGTAAGTAATCTTTGTTGCAACTAAATCTATAGCTGCTAAGGAAACTAGAATTTTCATTTTGAGATTTTCATTGCCAAATTAATGTAAATTTTGATTATCATCTTTATTTTGGCTGTTTTTGCATTTTCATTCCACCAATCTTGTTGATGTACACACACTATAGCTCAGTTAACTGAAGTACATGATGACCCTTCCTGTAATTATTATTATTATTATTTTAGTGTGCTACAGCGTCTGACAACCCTCATCTCGCGTCTTGCTGTAGCATTGGCTGAGGGACAGGCAGCAATTAAGCAGGCTCAGTCGGCTTCTGAAGCTGCAGCACAGCTCCTTAAGCAGGACAAAGCAGAGAAAGAAGAAGATCAGCAGAAAGAAGCAAATGTATCAAATGAAATTAAGGAGCTGAAGGAAGGCAAGTAAAGAGTAGTAAAGTGGCTATTACTTCTAATCCGGTGGCTTGTTATGCAATATTTAAATAAGAAAGGTTTGGAGGTTAACGTTCTTGGTGGCCCAGTATTTGGCTAATGTCCTTAGTGCCTGTCTTGTGTGGCACTGAGCCGAGTTTTCCTAGCTGCCGGTCTCTTCTTCAGGTTAGTCGCTTCCGCCTTTCCTCCAAGGCAAGTCCCTTCCTTTCCTGTTTCTTTGTGACTAGCTTCAGGGAACCACCAAGGGCTGCTCCCAATAAATCAATGTTAATGTGATTAAACATACCTTTCTTGTAGAGCCTGGTGGCTCCCGACGCCTTCATTTCCTATCAAGTTTGTCGGTTCATTGTTCATTGGCTCTGGGTTGGCTGGTGGAGCTGTCATAGACCAGGGCTCTGGGCCACCTGATGGTGGCTATCAATACTAATGAGTTTACACTAATTAATGAATTGTTTGTTTCACCTGAATGGTTTGTGGAGTCATTTGACCATTTCAGTGCTTTCTTTTTTATGAACCTTTCTAGATGCTTTCCTTAGTAAGGGTGCTGATAATAATCTCCAGCTCTCTGCACCTCTGTAAGGGGACCAGGTTCTGACTCTGGTCCCTGGTAGGCCTAACAGGACTCTTGCAACTGATGTGACCTAGTAATGGGGAGCCATTTTGGTGAGATGGCTTCAGGGAGGCACCAAGGCTACCAGTAAGAGGCATTCCATTACATTCAGTGCTGGGTTTTTCCTCGTATAACCTCATTTTTCTATTGCTTTCTCAGTTATCACAGTTTAACGTAAATTTAATTTAATGATGTACTTTTTCAGAAAACCAGCGCCTTGAGAAGGAACGTGATGCAGCGCTGCAACAGGCCAAAGGTATAACACGTGAATATGACAGAATGCTGGAGGAGCACTCTAAGCTTCAAGCGGAATTGCTGAAAGTTTCAGGAGCTGATGAATCAAAGAAAGATGATTGAGATGTCGAATAACAAACTAATTTAATGGACATATTAAAAATTGGTTTATTTTCCTATTATTGCCAAACAAGCAAACTTGTATCATTATGAAAATCAAAATGAATATAAAAATTGCAGTATGACTTACAGAACATTTGGAAGGAAGATAATTTTTCCATTATTGTGTTAGTAGGAAAAGATGCAGTGCTTTTTTCTGTTACTATATCGTAGTGCAATTGTGAGTACTGTAAATAGATTCTTAAACTTTGAGATGGCTCTGTTTCTCAAGATATCTTGGTACAGTACTTGTATTGGAGGCAGTTTGCTTGTCTAAACATTTCTTGGGGTGTCCTGCATAACATTGTCATAACTAGCATTTAACTAGGGTAACAGGTTTTTACATGGTTTTCTTTGATGCATTGTCCATATAAAATATTTCTGCAACGTGTATTGTTACTCGTTGAGTGACTTGTCTGATCCAAAGGATATTCTGAGCGCTGCTAATTAAAGTTCTGCACTAATATTCATGCATAAGATTCCTTATTTGGCAGATGAGATAGTTACCAAATATCCAAATTTGTACATGCTAATTTAAAGATGTCAACTGTAAAGCTATCTATGCCTAAAATTTGCATGTTTTGAAAAGATTACTGTACATGCTTTTGTGTTGGAGCTTGTTGAAGCAACAGTTAATATATTATTGATGTGGTTTTACCACTAAACAGTACAGAGGCCACATGAATTGGGCACCTGCAAAAATGTTTCTTTTTTGTATTTGTGTATGACATGTATTCCACATATGCATACTGTACCTGTTCCTGTACTTACACGCATGTTCAGAAGAAGACATACATTTATAGAGTGCAGTACTATATGTACAGGCATATGCTTAATGTTACGAACTTGCAGGCTACAAATTTTAACTTCTAACTGGAGATATATAAGGTGGAGCTAAACTAGTCCTTAATTATTCTTATAGATTAAAGCTTAAAATGTAGGGAATGTTGGGTACATTCGGAAAATATTCAGGGAAATTCTTAGTTAAGTATAAATAGTTATAAATGTTGAAAATGGATTAAAAGTTAATCTTGCTCCATTTTTAGAAATTATACATTAATTAGCTTGTTATTAAAGCCATATGAACAAAGAAAATTATATTGCAAGTGTGTGTGTATAAATTTGTCATTATTTTCAAAAAATTTAAAAGCTTGTCTTAACAGAATTTTATTAGTTATATTTGTACTTACGTATTACATGGTCACAGGAGCTCATTTTAAACATGCTTAAGTTATACAAGTTAATGGATATATTGTTTAAAGAGGGGCTCAAGATAATATATCTTGAATTATATTAGACATTGCTTAAATTGATGCTCTTTATATAATTCATTTTTTTTTTATAATGGAGTTTTTCATAACCTTAATTTTTTTCATCCAATCTCTCACAGGAATTGTACACTGTGCCTCAAACCCAAAATATTAAATTGTATTTCAGTATTGTTGCCAAATATAAAATTTATATTTGTTCATGTTTTTACATGAAACAAAGAAATGGTAGTAGGAATATGGTAGAAAGGGGGGAATAACAAATTTGCTCTAATTTTCACTTGATCATAATGTTGTGACAGTTGGCTCTGGTTGTAAGTTTACTCTGCCTTTGTTTGCATGTTCATTTTGCAAAATGCATTTCATTGAGTGGACTTTTTGTTTTAGGTAATTCAGGAGAGAGGAATTGGACAGCAGCTTGAATTGATCAAAGCATAAACAGTCGATTTGTAAACAAATTGTAAGGAATCCGGTGGTTTTGTGCTGTTCTTGTCGTTACTTTTGTTGTGTGTGTTGCTTTACATTATTACACCTTACCTTAGTAATTATGGATTTGTGGAGATGTGCCTAGGCTAACATGCTGAGTAAAATATAATCATACCCAAGGATTAATTCATGTTGATTTTTTGGTTTCTCTGTTCACTGATGGCAGTAATGATCACTGCTCTTGGGTTACAATTTGTCATAGTAAATTTTAATATTCCTTGGATATTTTGGGGATTGTTTAAAAATAAAGTCAATAAAACTTTTGCTTGTTTTATTTTCATGTAATATACAAACAACATGACTACAAATGTAGCTAGATATACTTTGTATGGCAAATGGTATAAAACATGCTAAAATCTGAACTCAAATTTGTTACAATATCCTGATATTCTTCCAGGACTTGTAATGCAGTATACAGTAGTTAAATATCTAATTTTTTTAACATAAGTCTCCCAGTAAGCATCTTCATATGGCAGAACTTTTATGAAATTGTGTGAATCTCGTAATCTGCTTTTTCAGCGTAGACATTCCTTTGTGATTGTGGTCGACTCATAGTGGGCTCGTGGATCTTAACCTGTTTGCATCCTGTGGTGGTCGGAACCTAATCCAACTGTGAATTCAAACCCAGGATTCTCGATTGCGATTTAAGAGCGAATCCCAACTGTACTACCTTCAACTGTAGATTAGTTCAGCTAACTGCAATGTGATATGTTTGACACAATATACGAATGATTAAAAATGGATAAAATTCACATTTATTCTGTTTGTTCACCCCAAGACATTGCTCTCTCTCTCTGCAAAATGCTTCTTCATATGGCGCACAAACAAGCTTTGATAAGCAAAGCCCTTTTCGCACTGTTCACACTGAAATTTCTTTTCACCTGCAACAGAATGGGAAGGTTTCCATTACATTTACTAAAAGTTAAATATTTGTCTTAAATTATGCTCAAGCTTTCAATGATAATTGAAAGGCCTAAATTATGATGATTGAACACAATAAAAATGTAGGTGTGAGAAAGCAGAAAACATTAGGTTTTAAGTTTGTACAGTACAGTAATAGGAAAAAAAATCAATATAATGAAATGCCTTTTTCTGATAGACCTCAAATGGCTCCCTGAACCTATCTTGCTGAGATGGCTTACAACGTTCATTGTTGGGGAGTTCTTTGGGCAATGTTTGGGCTTTGGTCTGTTTTTTTTAAATTGTGCAGTAGTCTGTTTTGACTCCTATCTTTCTGGGCACTTTCCTGGTGGTGGCAAAGATAACCTTTAAATGTAAAGTAATCATAGGCCATCGCTCCCTGCACCACTTTAGAGGGGGGGCCAGGTTCTAGCGTGTGGTCCCCAGTAAGCAAATAGAACTCTGCAACTGGTGGAACTTAATCAGTGCCCTGAAGCCGGCAAGCTCACCTCGGTAATCGACAACAATATTCCCGTGCAGCACTTGCCATATTTCTACTGAAAAAATGCAACTTCGGGCCGCTACAGCTAAACCACAAGAGGTCGAGATTTTTTACTAGGATTATCATGCTTCCTGGATACCAATTAACAATGTCAAAAAAAAAAAAAAAAAAAAAAAAAAAAATCCTGAATTTTTTTTTTCTCTATGCACCACACAGTTTGTACATTTAACAGGTGTGCTGAACAAGGGTTAATGTTCACGGGTCTTGTCATGCCTGCGTCGCCTTGGGTTGCATCTCTTGGCCTGAAGTCTCATCTTGACTGTGCGGTTTCTCCTCCCTGGTGAATCCCTCTCTTTCTTCTACGTGGGTAGTTAGCTTCAGGCAGCCACAAGGGACTACCCCCAGAAACCCTGCACTGAATGTCATGAAACAATGCTTTTTGGGTGAGCCTTGTGGCTCTGATGATCTTCTCAAGATATATTTTAAAACACAGTTTTGGCAGTTATGGCTTCGGCAGATAGGCAGTTCCATGGGTTAATAGCTCATATGCAAAAGTGAATGATATAAAAATGGCTGAATGATAGATATATTTTCTAAATTAGGTATAACCTTCTTTCACTGTACAGTACTGCATTACTGTATTTTCCCTTTACCTCCAACCTGATGTTTCCCATTATTATGAAAGTGGGAAATGGGGTATTGATAATGAATGAAATACATATATAAAATTATGGAGTTCTTGAATTACTTTGATTCCATGTTCCCTCTGGAAACTTAGCTACAGGAAAATATTCTGAAGCTGTTTACCTGTGTGAATTTTCAGGTGAATATTTAATTTAGACTTTGTAGTGAATCGCTGAGGGCATTGAGGACACGGGAATCTCCGCATCTCTTGACTCAGATGGACTAGACGGTGGGACCAAAGGTTACTTCTGCACTTGAAAATTTTATCACAGTCCTGCAATAAAAATAATGTTTTATATATATAAAAAAAAAAAGTTAAAATGAGTCATGGTGGAGAAAAGGGAGATAAATACTGTAGAGTAAAAAAATGTGTTTGGAAAGATGGGGACTTTGTTGGCAGATATGCACGATGTTACCTATAGATAGAATGAACAATTTAATAATAACAGTAATATACAGTAGTGAACTAAGCTCAATAATAGTCTTATTGGGCAAGCATCCCTGGTGGTTCCCTGAAACTATCTTGTTGGGATTGCTACAATTAAAGGGTCACATCGGTCGTAGTAGTCACCTGCTGTTGACCGCAATAGGTCCTTTGATGAGTGATTCCCAGGCCATTTCACTTCCTACTGCAAGCACCTCTTCAGTACTAAATCGCAGAAAGATGATTCTGCTCGTGGTTCACACTGGCTCTTTTGTAGTTCGTCACTTTGAAGCTACCATGGATAGGGCATCTAGTTCATTTTGCCAGCTCTTATTCCCACAATTCATGTTTTTTATTCATGTTTCTTGACCTGTAGTGGAGTTGGTTAATCCCTTCCCTATTCTTGGGGTTGGAGCTTTCAGATCAGGATTGCTCACCGGCTCTGCATCAGGTTACTGTGAGTTGGCTGGACTTTGGCATACCATAGTTGAGATGACCTCAACCCTTCGGTAGGTATCCTGGTTGTTCCTGGTTCTGAAAGCAGGATTCTGTGGACCTACAATATATCCTCAATTTGTTGGGATTGAACACCATCATTCCCTGTCTTACCTTACACATGACCATCTTAGCTCAGGTTTCCCTGGTATTCACCTTGGCTAATTTCCCTGATCATGGGAAAAAAAATTCGTAGGTAAAATAATTTGGCCATGATACTGGGTAGCACACACACCCAGCCATCTACCCACACTCCTATGCACTCCCCCCACCCATACAATACTGTACTCCATGTGGATGCTGCACAGATGTTCACGCTGCTGTAAATTTCAAAGGAACGTTTCAGCGAGTTAGTACAAGGATTTTATGCATGTAGGGGGTACATGGGAATCTGGGAGAATGTTTGTATGGACAAATGTTCGTAAAGCGGGAACTTCCTGTATAGACAAAAATAACATTAAAAGTTAAAGGAATGAAATTTTTCACTTACCTCACACTTGAAACCATCAGTGCTAGCATGCTTTCTTAGGTGGTGGTTGCGTAGTGATTTAGAAAAAACAAAACTGGCATCACATAGGTCACACTTGATGCGTATACCATGGCATGCATTTTCGTGTTGCTCTAGGCTTCCCTAAAAAAAATAACACAGTAAACTTCTATTTCTTCATTACAAAACAATATACTGTATTATTAATCATTTTGTTACCATCAGTGAATTGACAATGTCTTGAAACAACAAATAAAAAATATAAATTTCTTTGCATACTGTATAAAAACCTCATGAAAAGTACCATACACCTAGTTTTATATAGCAGCTGGGTGCTGCTGTGGATGATTTACTGGAGTGTGGTGAACATGTAAAGTAACAATTAAGAGCCCCATGGAAACAGTTTACTTACACGATGGCTGAAAACCATTTTACAGATGTTGCACACCTTCTCTTTCTGACCACCTCTTTGAGCACTGAAGCTTGTCTTAACTTTCTTGGTACTTCCATTTTTTACTGTAAAGAGATACATTTACATGACCTGTTACTAACACACAAGTCTTGAGTATACAGTAACCACTTAACAGTTGTAAATGTTAACATATTTTGATCTCTCCTCTATTATAATTATCAAACAAATAGAGCACTAACAACATCATTTGTCAGGGTCCCGGTAGTACTGTACGGTCAGGTTTGTTCTCGACTTGCAATTGAGAATTCCAGGTTCGAATCCCAGGCGGGACAGAAAAGGTTGGGCACATTTCCTATCACCTGATGCAACTGTTCACCTAGCAGCAAATAGGTATCCAGGAGTTACTAAGCTTGTTGTAGGGTTGCATCCTGGGTGGGGTTAGTAATTCGACCTGGGAGGAGGGGGGGGGCCTCGATATAACCCTTAAGTGTATGAATATGCTCTGGCTGCCTGTCCCCCGACTCAATGAATTACTGTACAGCATTATAATTATTATCACACATCACTTTATTCAGACCTCTTGGTCAAGTTCTACTTTCTTTTACATTTTAAAATACTGCAGCCCTATTTTCTATTTGTACTTGATCCTTTTCTATATATGTCTTCAGCTATATTAAAAGATCAATTTTTCTTGAGGTAAATGCAGTAATATATGATAACACCTCTCACATACAGTACATATTTTCTGAGGGGCTTCCTGAGCCCCTCAGAAAAGAAGCTATTGAGCTTCCTCAGCTTAGCTCAGGTGCTACCAAGCGTTAGCTAAGCAAATCAGCCTTCTGAGACCTGTCCATTGTCTACCAAGAGCCAGGACCAGCAGCTGGTTTATTATATGAAGCAAGAAGTAGCTTGGAGATCAGAGATTGACTCAAAACTGGGAAAACCCTTTCCACAGAAGGCATAGGAGAAGTACAACAAGCAAATTCTTGAAGGAAATTAGGCATGCCTTGGTAAATAAGGAAAAGTATCTGCACCTTCCAGTAATGGGTGTTTTATTATATTCATTGCACGAGTTTCGTTATCAGTTAGAATCAAGAGACTTATAATCTTTTAAGCTATCAAAACATTCTCACAATCTATAAATATTTACTCAGATATGATGCATATTGAACTAAACATTTTAAATAGATACATACTGCAATTCAAGCAGCATCCCATTATAATGCACTGTCGAAATTCAATATAAAAAATTATAATACGTACAGTAATTCAGATAAGGTATTTACCCATGCTCAGAACTATACAACTGAACTCCTACCAGTAAAGCTCAATCTCTGCCATATTTAAATTTAGTTACATTTTACTGTACAAATATGTAATATGAAAACATTACTGCATGTCTATTTAATAATTTACCTGATGATAGTAAGTGCCAATTACAAGATTTGGCACCAGTGTCAATAACAGACGGTTTGGTAAAGTTTATTTTCAGATCATGCATATTCAAATGACACTGTCTGTCTGGTATACCATCACTGTGCTTTCCTTCACAATGTGCTTGCTGCTGTGCTTGAGTCCCATGGTTCACTCCAGGGGAATAACCATCACCCCAGTTCTTTACTTGCTCTACTGTGACACTTTGAGACACTGGCTCCTTCCTCTCGGTGGATCCAGGTGACCTTTTCAGAATTCCACTTGAACATATCACTTGTGACATAATATCTTTGCTCCATATTAATTCTTCCTCACTTTCTATAGTCAATATGATTTCTCCAGGTGAAGATGCTGCAGGAGATTTTTCATCTGTGTCACAGCATATGATCATCTCTAGCTGAGACTCACACTCTTGTCGCTCGTTTTGTTCATATATTATCTCATTCAAAGAGTTACCACAAACATCTGGAAAACCCTGAGCTGTTTCAGTTATAGAGCTTAAAGACCTACTTCCCAAGGAAGATATAACATTAATATTTTTACTACATTGTTGTGATGTATCTTCAAATGATATATTATTCACAATGCCTTCAATTCCTGTTTGTAAATTATCTGGTCTAACACAGTTGATTTTAGTAGCTTTTGTCACTGATTCTGAAGAATTGTCTCTATATTTTGTTAATGATACTTCAGTAACTTGGAAAAGAGTCTTACAATCTGGATTTCCCATTCCCATACTAAAGATATCTTTGAGGCTGAGTTCAACAATACCCAGAACAGACACATATGTTTCAGTCATCCCTGAATAATGCTCGAGCACCAAGTGATCCAGCAGGCACTGATTGGTCATTAAATTTAGGCCACAATATTCGCATAAGGTTGAATTTTCTCTGATACCAGTCTCCACCTGAAATTAATTAAGATAAATCAATAGTTTATACAGTAATTACAATAGTGACATATTGCAGTAATTACACTGACTCATTAAAATACTGTAAACATTTGTAATACTGTATCTGGAAAAATATTACATGAAGACAAACACAAGTCTTACATGATGTCGTGCAGAAAGATGGTCTAGCAGATCATTGTGGCTCAGAACACAACACCGACAACTTGGACAAACATAGACTTCTTGGATATTCAAAGATGAATGGCTGGAATTCACATGATGAGTAAGGTCATCAGCAAACTCAAAACTCTTCTGACAGAAATCACAAGCAAATGTATGGATGACACTCTCACGAACTATGCGGATATGAACAACTGGAAGGATGAATTCTGAAAGCCAAAGTTATGTGAATTACATTACAGTACATGTTCTGTGACATATTTACAAAGCAACTGTTAATAGGCATACTGTATGTGTATCTGTAGTAAAATTTTATGAGGCATTTAAATACTCATGAGGCCTTTAAATACTATAATGTGTTACTGTAGACAGTAACACAGTACTGTAACTGTTATTAGGCTAAGTTAATATAACCAGTGCTAGGCTTTCATCCACCTCTTAAATATGGAAGAGCAGGCATGATTCTGGGGTGAAATAGTTTTGATAAGGGTTCTCATGAAAAAACGATGATGGGTCCTGAAGCACAGTGATCAGCATAGTAAGGTTATAACCATAAAGTCCTGTGTTTAATTCCTGAGGCAGGACAGAAACATTTGAACAACAGTTCCATTCACCTAACACCTCAGTTCACCTAGCAGAAAATAGTTAATCAGGAGTTAGCCAACTGCTGTGGGTTGCATCTTGGAGCAGGCTTAAGGGAACCTCAATAAATCTAAAAGGTTTCCTGTTCCAACAATGGAAAATAACAAAAAATTTAAATACACATGTCACTGAAGGGTCTAAGCAGTTCTGTTACCTGGTTGCAGGTCTAAATATCAGCATAACTACAGTATGTAAATTAAAGAAAAAGTATCATTCAGCAGGTCATACAATTCCAGTTACATTATCATACATTATATTGTATCATAATGATACAGCATTTCATAGGCCTATATCACATTTTTGCAAACGGTAACCAGCTATTCAGACAAAAAACTTCGAGTGGATGTAGTACAGTAAGTATACTGTACATGGTTTTTGCTAAAGCCTTTGATAAGGTACCACATGAAAGACTGACAAGGAAATTACAGCCTCATGGAATAAATGGTAGAATACTACAATTGATAAAACAATGGTTGAAACAAAGAAAACATAGGGTCATACTAAAAGGTTCCAAATCTGACTGGAGAAATGTGGTAAGTGGGGTACCACAGGGGTCAATTTTGGGGCTAACCCTTTTTGTCATTTACATCAATGACATATGAGAATATTACAAACCACATCATCAAATTTGCAGATGACACAAAGATATATGGTAAAGAAGTGGGAAATAATAATGATATTGGAGCCTTACAAAGAAATCAAATTATGCTACAATGTACCTATTGATAATCCTCAAATTTTACTACAATGTACCTATTAATAATCTTCACATTTTCTTACAATGTACCTGTTAATATTCTTAAATTTTTGCTACAAATTACCTAATTAAAACTATCTGTTAGATTAAGGACCTGCCCGAAACGCTATGCATGTTAGTCGGGTAGGCGGTTCCATGGGTTAATAACCCTGTGAGTGAAAAAGCATCTCCCTGTTCTCAGCCCTACATTGTGGCTTGTTGAACTTGTAACTCCTTGTTTGTGTTACTTTGGCTTGTTAATAAAATATAAAAAAGTACATTTAGCATCAGGACAAGTTGTCTCACTTCCAATTTACTCTGAGCCAAAAAAATTGTGCACTAAGAAACTTATATGTTAATAAGACTTCTATACTTAAGTTAATACCTTCATTTGTATTGGCACACTTCATTGTACAGCTACTGTATGTTTTTTGTTCTTAATTATACATTGTGTTTTATATACTATTGTAGAAGGCTAAATAAGCACTCCTTTTCTTATTCTTAATAATTGTGTACACATCCACTTTAACTGTAGGCACTCAGGAAATGTGACACTCAGGTACTAAGACACTCAGCTGTGACACACAGGAGCTGTGACACTCAGGAGCTGTGATACTCAGGTACTGAGACACTCAGGAGCTGTGACACTCAGGTACTGAGACACTCAGGAGCTGTGACACTCAGGTACTGAGAAACTCAGGAGCAGAGACGCTCGATCAGGTTCTGAGGCACTTTAGAGCCAAGACACTCAACAGGTGCTGAGGCAGATGTGCAATGGTGCACTCAGGAACTGGTAGGCACTCGACAGCAGAGACACTGAGACACTCAGGAGACTAGGCACTCAGGTGCCATAAAGACAATCAAGCACTGAGGCACTCAGGAGCAGACACATAGGTGCTGGTACACTAATCAGAAGCTGCGTTGTGACACTTGATGAGGCACTGCTCTGCTGTAGAGGCACTCAAGTGTCAGGGCACTGCTCTGCTGTAGAGGCACTCAAGTGTCAGGGCACTGCTCTGCTGTAGAGGCACTCAAGTGTCAGGGCACTGCTCTGCTGTAGAGGCACTCAGGTGTCAGGGCACTGCTCCGCTGTGGAGGCACTCAAGTGTCAGGGGCACTGCTCCGCTGTGGAGGCACTCAAGTGTCAGGGCACTGCTCTGCTGTAGAGGCACTCAAGTGTCAGGGCACTGCTCTGCTGTAGAGGCACTCAAGTGTCAGGGCACTGCTCCGCTCTGGAGGCACTCAAGTGTCAGGGCACTGCTCTGCTGTAGAGGCACTCAAGTGTCAGGGCACTACTCCGCTGTAGAGGCACTCAAGTGTCAGGGCACTACTCCGCTGTAGAGGCACTCAAGTGTCAGGACACTACTCCGCTGTGGAGGCACTCAAGTGTCAGGGCACTACTCCGCTGTAGAGGCACTCAAGTGTCAGGACACTACTCCGCTGTGGAGGCACTCAAGTGTCAGGTCACTGCTCTCCTGTGGAGACACTCATGTGTTAGAATGCTAAATTAATGCTAAATTTCTTTAGCATTAATATTTTCATCACTACATTAACATTCCGCTCTTTATTTATTTATTATTTACTCTGTAGTGAAGTTATTTATATAAAAATAATTCATGCGGTATATCCTTATCTCCGCTCCTTGAAACTTTCTCAAAATATAATAATTATCTGTTTATATTATGTAATTTATTTTGTTACTTATAGACTCCTTTATTAATTTTATTACATATATTTAATATAATACGAAAAATACTAGATTATTTATCCAGTAATTGTTCGTATTTTTTTCTTAAGCAGTGGCGTAAATAACTATTGTGACGTGTATATTCAAAATCCTGCTGCTATAAGATGATTTAGATACATAATATATAATCTATATAAAAGTAAAAATGTATGTAAGTTAATATAGTTAGTTATTTTGAAAGGAGGGAGGGGTAGGATAAAGTAATATGAGTTTGTTTAGATTTTAAGAGTGGAGGAGGAGGACAGTGGTGGTGATGGCCGTGGTGGGGGATGGTCGCCCTCGCTCGCTGGTCATGGAGGCTCCTGGAGCCCCGGGGCTACCTCACCAGGTCAGGGCCTCCTCCATGCTACCTCCCTGCCTGCCTGCCTCTTTATATCTTATAGTAGAATGGGGGTCTAGGCGCTGCTGGAGGAGAGACGGGGTGGGGGGGGGGTCTATAGGTCTGGGTAGGCCTAGGCCAGGGTGCTGGGCTGCCAGGCCTATAGGCTGATGTCGCTGTTGCTAGTTCGTGGTTTATTGGTTTAAAGAAGGGTTACGTGTTTTGTTTGGCATTAAAGACAATATTTTGGTCTTGCTTTTGTTTATTTTGTTCCTGTTGCCAGAAACCAGAACGTGTGACAGACATGAAGGTTTATTTATTTTTTTTAATTTATATGCAAGAATGTACATTGGGGTGTTGAGAATATACAAACACTGGGGTCTAAATTGTAACAATCTTGCAAAGTCACTGACACACACGGCGCTTCAGGCAGAAATGTTTAAAGTATAGTTTTATCTGTTAAGAGAAAGCAATAATTTTGCTTAAGGCTGTAGCTAAGAATGAGGGTGTTTAAGGGGTGTCGTAAGGAGTCTCACGATTGTGTGTGTGATAAGTCGTACACAAAAACTTAGTATGTAGTTTAATCCAATTACGGTCCCCGATAGTACAGTCGGGTTCATTCTCGACTCAATTGAGAATTCCAGGTTCGAATCCCGGGTGGGATAAATGGTTGGGTGCGTTTCCTAACACCCAATGCGCCCTGTTTACCTAGCAGTAAATAGGTACCCCAGGAGTTAGCTTGTTGTGGGGGTTGTATCCTGGGGGGGGGGACCTTGATTCAAGCCTAACATGTACTGTAGTATTGTATGTATATGCTGGCTGCCTGTCCCCTGACACAATGAATTATAATTAAAACTACTGTATATAATGTTTACATTGTTAGGTTAGGCTGAGTTGAAGTTAATCTAGATTAGGCTAGGTCTCGGTACACCCAAAAATCTATTGAACTTTAATGTACAGAAAATTGCTAGTGCTGGTAAAATTATCCTGTTTACAGCATGTTAAATACCCCCATATGCTATTGTGCGTTTCATTGTTAAATGTCGTTCATATCTATTTACCATGCGAGTTAAATGGCTTCTCTTACTTATATTACTTAATGGCTTCAACGCTTCCTAGAAGGTTGTAACAGAACTCATAGGCACCACACCAGAAACAAATACCTATTTGATATTCCAAGAGTAAGACTTAATCAAACTAGGAATGCTCTACAAATCAAGGGGCCCAGAATGTGGAATGACCTTCCCAATCATGTCAAAGATTGTACCTCTCTCAACCAGTTTAAGATGAAAACTAAGTACTACCTAATTAACTCCATGTAACCTACCTTACTTCTAAATGTCAACCCATGTCTTGCTATTTAAAAAAAAAAATGCTGTTGACCAACTTGTATATTGGCTATTTTCTACTATGTTCCCCCTTTTTTTATCTATTATTATTTTTTCTTTCAACGCAATTTATACTTTAAGCTCAATTACTATTAAGTTTTAGTCTAGTGTCTTTTTTTTCCCCACCTCACCTTGCCCGAAACGCTATGTGTACTAGTGGCTTTAGGTATTGTATGTACTACCTCTATCTTTAAATCAAACAATCTTTGTACTGTAACTCTGCAACTTTGTATGTACTTTTCCTAAATAAATTATTATTATTATTATTATTATTATTATTATTATTATTATATGCTGGGCAGGATGAGACAGCTGGGTGCGTCTCCTTGTACACAATGCTTCTGTTCACCTAGCAGTGATTAAGAACTTGGTTGTTAGTTGACCGTTGTGGGTAACTTGCTGAGGAATTGTCAAATACTGTTTAATCAAGAAAACTTTGAAATCCCCACAAGTAACTAGAAACAAGGAAACCCAGTACAGAATTATATGTAACACAGTACAGTACTGTATATTAATTATTCCCCTATCAGTTTTGCTTCAACATTTTCATAACAATGCAATACCATTCACCCCATACACATTAATTTGTTTGTAAAGATATCTTGCCACTTACACTCACGGTGTATGTAACAAATTCTCATCTGTAACATTACCTGTTAATTCTATGCCAATTAAATTTGCATTCCATTCTCTGACTTTCAATCTGACAAAAATAAATATACAAGAGGTTGCCCAGAAAGTTTGACAATTTGGTACATGCCAAGTTAAAAGTTTTTCAAATTACAGTACCTGATAACCATAATGGCATTGCATAGTGGTATGTGCTGTATTTAGTTTAAGAGCTCCCCCAACAAGAAAATGTAGCCTTGAAGGAGAGTAATGTAAAATGTACATTACTAGGGTATAAGTCATTTTGTCCCCAAGATGATCTAGGTATTGATTGAACCAATTTGCTTATTGGCGTGTTTCCAGAGTTAAGAACTATTGCATCAAAATGCACTACAATTGTGTTAAACCAATTTACCTGTAACATTAAGTTTGGAACCTTTAGATTCCAGCATTGCTGGATCCACCCTAGTATACTAATAATAATAAATATTGCTAAAGTTTTTTTTACAGTGTTTATACATTTATGTTTAACTAAGAAGGAAAAAACTTTTTTTCAGTTGGGTGGAGAGGAAAACAATCCCATTCACCCTGATGCAGCTGTCCAGTCACCTGGAGACAAATTGCAAGACAAAATTGATGGTTAGTGTAGAGGAATATTAATATTTTTATGTTTTAAATAGAAATATATATATATATATTGCCTTTTGACAATTGTAAGTCATTGCTCTTATATTTTTAAATTTATGTAGCCATATGCAGTACTGTAATTATAGCATAGTACAATATTAGAAAAATCTGTTTTTAATTAATATTTGTGCTACTGTACATCAGTAGCAGTAGCAATCAGTTGTCATTAATTTTAAATTATATTTTGTAATCTTTAACTCATTAAATTGTCACTTTTTTTTAAAGTCACATTTTATTTTATATACTGTATATGCGTGAGATTAAAATGAAAAGTTTTGTATTCTTATAATGGAATTTTTGTTTTTTGATAAATAACTTGGTCTGCTTTAGGTTGTGTGTATCTGACCAGTATATATTCAACTGGCCTTGTTTATTTTTTTCATACCCAGCTAAACAGCAAACAATTGAAGCTCTTCAGCACGAAAACTACAAACTGCGTTTGCAGAGTACTGTTTCATCGTCCGAGAAAAAGGAAATCATTGAGCAGTACAATGCAAAGGTTTGTGGCCAATTGTGATTTAACTTTTAAGAAAATATAACTGTTACACAAACACTAATCTTTTTCCTTTCTTTTAATTTCTGTCTCTTACCCTTTAACTTTTTGGTACCGTTTATACTAACAACAAGAATTCAATTTTACCCAAATTGATAATGGTCCAGGACAGAACGAAATGTTCTTTCTTCATTGTCAGATGTATGGTTTGGTGATCAAGTTATTAAGCTTCACTACTGTAATCACCACAATAAAAATGGGGGTATTCTGCGATGATGGCTTTCCTTAAGTGCCATCCTAGCACAAGGATGGTTTTCCTTAGGTGCTAGTTAAAGAATGGGTCTCTTAATGTCCTATCCCAGGAAGTAAGGAAACTCATTAAATATTTATAAAATTATGGTGGTAGGTTTTAAAATAATTTTTTTTTCGGCTGCAGATTCAAGAATTCCAGTCTGCTCTTAATCAGCGTGATCAGATGATAGGCAAGCTACAAACAAGACTAGCCGAATGTATACAGAATCAAGATGACAAAGAGGCAGAGTACCTTGAGCAAGTTGAAACACACAGAAGACAGGTGGAAAACTTAAATTTGCAGCTTAAGAAAACAACAGATAGTCTTCTGAATAAGGATTGGTCATCTGAACATCTGCAACTACAAAATAAGGTAAAATATTTTTTAGGATAGACTGGACACCATGAGCATAGTTCTCATTCTGTAATTTACACTTGGCTAATTGATGTATTTACATAGGATTGTAAATAAATTGATTAATTACATAGGGTTACATAGTGTCCTCGGTCAGCGCTTGAATATTCCCAGTCTTCCTTGTCCCATTATGACCAAAGTGTATTACATACAATATTTATATTAATTTTCCATGATGAGAGAATACCTTTTAACACTATAAGAATAAAAAAAAATTCTTCACATTGGGAGCCTGTCATATCTAATAGTGGCACAGCTGAGTGGTTAAGCAACTTTTTGGCTGCATTCTGGGGAGGACTTATTATTTTCTTATCTCCATTGCACCATTATGATTATTCTTGGATGCTTTGATAAGCTCACTTCAGTGAAAATTGGCAACCTGCCGTGATTGCATATAACTTACAGTAGTTATATGCAATCAGGCGTCAGTTGTATCTTTCCTTATGGAGTAATGGAGAGTACTGCTCAGAAATTTGCTTTTCATATTCTGCACTCTGTATTTAGTCAATTTGTTATATTTTAATATAATTGATACTGGGAAATGCTGCCATAGGCGATCGAAAGCTTTATTATTATTTTTTAAACATAACAGTATTGTGTGCACTTTGGTTCTATATGAAGTTTTAAGGAAAGCATCCCCCATGTACGATTGAGGGTCTGCATAATTTATTTTTAATATTTTGCTTTGTAGTTTGTTAAAATAGTATTGTGTATTGTTTCTTTCAGATTCAGATTCTCATGAAGCAGCTTCAAGAAGTAACAACAGAGCTGGCACGAAATAATGAAAAACATCAGATAGAACTAACTACTGTTCAGCAGCAATTTGAGCAGCAACTGACGATTGTGAAGCAGCAGATAAGGTATGGATTGCATTATTAAGATAGATTTTTACCACGGTAACTGGGATGTTTGTCGCTGTTTACTACCTCTTTTATCTTTGGGTTTTATTGAACTGTTGCCCCAACTGTGATGAGTAACTTTTCAAATGGTCTTGCCACACAGCTGGAAAGGTGATGCGAAAATAAAGTTCAGTCCACCATAAAAATGGCCACCTCTGACACCAAAGAGCACACACATTAACTGGACACCTCCGATAAATATCTTAAAAAAGTACAGTACTCTATATACATGTAATAGTGTAGATCCTTATGTATGAATGTGAAATGGTGCAACATGAACATTAAAAATACAGTAAATGGGATAGTAGTAGAAATAGACAATGTGAGATGTGTGAAAATGTCATGGGAAGATGGGGGGGGGGGACCCATAAATTTGTGAATCATTGGATTAAAGAGAGACCATGGAGTTGATGTGGCCATTTTGAACAAATATTGCTGATACAGTGGTAAAGAGTGTGTATTTGAGTCAATTTAAAGGTAGGATATGAAGGCCAGAAATATGAAGTCATGATAAATATTTAAACGATTCTTCGCGGCGGGGATCGTATTCCAGGGACCTGCCCGAAACGCTACTCGTACTAATGGCTGTACAAGAATGTAACAACTCTTGTATACATCTCAAAAAAAAAAGAAAAAAAAAAGAGGTAGTGAGAAAGGTGGTAGAGATAAGGCTAGAAAAAATCAAGTTTGAGGTAGTGAATCTGTGATATTAAGAGTGGCAACTTTCAACAAGTATGACTCGTAGCCCTATAAGGCAGCGTTGTGCTGCTGGAGTGTGTTTATATTTATTCATAATGCTTTATAGTGTGAATTACATAATGAATAGAAAGTGTTAATTCTCTTTAATAACCATAACTTTCACAATCTTGTTTTTCTGGGCAGATGCCTCCCCACCCCATGAGTTGGGAAATGGGTAATGATCAGGTATGTATGGACTTAACTTCTTTTTCCTTCTCTTTTCCAGTGAGCGGCACAATGAAGAGTTGTCGAGAATAAAATCTTCACATGATTATGAACTTTCTCAAGTAACCCAGCAAATTGATGCCTTGGAGAAAGCACAGAAAGAAGATCATACAAGTCTTATAGAAAATTTGAATTCCCTTTCTAATCTAAATATCAGCCTTAAAGAACAGCTGGAAGGAGAGAAAGTTAAGCTCAAGACTCTTGAATGTTCTTTGCTTGAACTGAGGAATGAGAAGGAACTACTGAAAGTAGAAGTAGAGCATAGTAAGGAGAGAGAAAAAGATTTACATCTCAGAGTAAAGCAGGAATGTGACACGAGAAATGTGATTCAGCAGACATTTGAAGAACTGAAGACAAAATATGGTGAATTACAAAATGTTTTAGACATTTCAAAGGAAGAGGCTATGACATTGAATGCAAATTTGAAAGTTGAGGTTGAAAAAAGAAATAATGTTGAGAAGCAGCTTGCTGTGGAATTGCAAAATGTGAAGAACCTATCAGAAGAGAAGCTGAACTTGGAGAACAAATTGGAAAATATAAATTCTCAGATGAATGTCATGTCAAAGGAATTATTGCAAAGCAAAGCTTCCAAGGAGAATTTAAATGCTGATTATCAAAAAACTTTAAAGATATATAATGAGATTCTTTGTGAACATGATGAATGTAAAAGGTTAGTTGTTGAGCATGAGGTTATTTGTAAAGATTTGCAGGAAGAAAAGCAACTTTGGGTTGCAGAAAAAAGCATCCTTGCAGATGAATTAAGACAATGTACTGAAATGTTGAAAATTGAAGAAAGTAAAGTTGAAAATGAAATTAAAAGTAAAATTGAACTTGAAAAAGAAATTTCTATTCTTAAAGGTGACAATGAAAAGTTGACCAAGAGATGTGATGAACTTGCTCAGCATGAACAAGATAATAAAATTCTAACAGAAAAATTACTGCAGATGCATTCAGATCTTAAAGAAGCTGAAAATAAAAGTGTAAATGCTGATGCACTTAGGGAGAAATATTTAGCATTGGTTGAACGGTGGCAGTCGGTAGAATCTAATAATGAAAAAATAGAAGAGCAATGTAAAGAAAAGTGTGAGTGTTTGAACAAGACTTTGCAAAGTTTAGATTCAAAACTAGAAGCAGCAAGTGGTATAACTGTTAGATTCCAAGAAATTGGTTATAATAAATCTGTGGTGGAAAAACTAAAGGAAGCAGAGAATAATATTAGTTTTCTTGAAGAAGCTCTGAAGAATACCAGTCTTGAAAAGGAAGCTCTAGTATCTGATTTGATGCAAACTAGAATAGCACGGGACAGCATGGAAAGGGAGAAAAATGAATGCGAGACAGATCGTGACAGAATGTTGGAACAATACAAGATGATGAAAGCAGAATTGGCAAGTGCCCAGCTTGCTCTTGATAGGGAATTCCAGTTATCCACACATCGAAGGTTAACCAGTGATATTGGCCTTTCTGTCTCGACTTCATCAATTTTGGAACCAAATGCCATTGAAGGGGAGTCCAATACAGATAGTGGTAATAATCTTGAAGGACATGCTCGAAAAGAAATGTCAGTAGATGTAAAAGAATTTAATATTTCTACTATAATTAGGTTAAAACCATCAGAAAAGATAGAAAATTCAAGCAAATTTTGGGAAGATAAAATCCATAATCTTGAGAAAGAAAACAAGGAACTGCTGAATGAAATAGAACAACTAAAAACAAAGATTCATGACCAGCATTTTAGTGTCAAATCTCTTGAGAATGAGAAGCTCAAATTAAGGAGTAGACTTAATGAATTAGAATCTGAAAAAGTGAAATTTAGGGCAGAGCAGGAAGATTACCAGAGAAATATTAGTGAGAAGATGAACCTTCAAAGACAGCTGGATGAACTAAAGTTAACTGTTCATTTAACAGAGGATAATTTAAAGAAGCAAGAAGAAGAAATGAATCTACTTCAAAAATCATTGAAAGCTATTATATTGAGAGGTAACTGTGATTCTTCTGAAAAGTTGAAAGATGTTGTTAATAATCTTGACATATTAATCGTAAAGCCCAAATCAAATGAGAGCCAAAATTGTTCAAGGTTTTTGAAGAGTTGTGTATCAAGGCAGTCTGAAGAACTTCAGTGTATGTGTGAAGAATTAAAGAAGTACATGTCTCAACTCCTAGATGTTTTACAACAGTCAGATAAGTTAAATGAAGAAAAGATGATAATTGAACTTGAAAACTTTGCTCTTAAGGCAGAAGTTAAGAAGCTTAAGTATTTGAAAAGTGTTGAAATTTGTAAAGAGGATATTGATGATAAATTCGGTGATATTACGACAAGCACTGGTGATAAGGAAGACTGGAAAGTAGAGAGAGAGCTCCATAAGTATAAGCACGAGAACTGGAAACTTCGTCTACAAGTAGAAAAACACAAAGTACTTTTTCGGTTGGAGAAGCTGCATTTACAGTCATCATTGATAAATTCTCAAGTGAGTTTTGAATAATTTTTCACTTTTTAAAATAATAAAATACGTGTATAAAATGTCAAAAGTAATAGTTTTACTTAAGTTTAGTTAAGAACTGCTGGTATTTGATGGAACTTTTCCTTACAGAAAGACATTGATTTACCTGTGGATATTAGAGAAATGGTGACAACATACGTTGGAATGGAACTGGAGAAGCTTATTGAGGAATGGGAAGATCAAATTAAGAATGATCCTTCATTGACAGACTTCATATCTGCACAGATATGCAAAGTGAGTGAGTTTATGCTTTGTTTTATTAATAAAAATTCCTAATGAGAAGTTTAGCGTGTCTTTGACATTCATATCTATTGGAGAAAACCTATTTATTCCTTGTAAACAGGTCATGGTTTAGTAGATAATTGTCATATGTATTACTTGCTGCATTATTCATTTGAATCTGAATTAGTGTGGCTTTATTGAAAAAAAATCAAAATTAAAAGGGCATTTAATTACATTCAGTGCATGATTTATAACTGATTGGATTTTTCAGGTTTGTGATATCATAAGAAAATTGCCGGGTACCTTAGTTGAGAGCTCGGATGGTGGGGCTTATGTGAAAGCAGCCATGAAGCTTATTCAACAAGCCGTCATTAAGGTAAGTGCTGTTATGGTGTAATATTTAGGGGCTAATTATTGTATTGTATAAAATATGATCAGATGACTAATCAGTGGACTAGGAAAAGCCTATGACATGTGAATCAATATTAGGAAGCTATCTGATTTTATGATCATAATGTAATTATTTTTCAGTATTACATCTGGTTTTTAGTTAAGCTGGGTTCCATTTGTATAGATAATAGTGAATAAGCTAAAAGGATACTGTGATATAATACAGTACATATATTATTTGGGAGGTTGTAAAAAGGATTTTTTTTTAATGTTATCCATTGTAAGGAAAGCTTTGAATTACCATTTAGAGATGCTATTCTTTAAATTTTGTAAGCATCAAGGAATTTTTCTTCAAAACCTATTAGCCTCAATGTGTTGGGAGTTTAACTGGCTGGACATTAGGATGACACTTCAGTGCTTGTTAGGGATGGAGTCCATATTAGGTACTTTGAATTTTGACATTCATGTTACCTACTAAAAAAATTCTTAATATTAATTAAAAGCAATATAAGGGTTTTGGATAATAGGGTATTGGTGTTATGCAGGTAAGCATTTGGATGAAGTTTTGAAATGCATGGGTAAATTTTGGTGACTTACGCGGTCGTGTGTGAATTAACATGAATAATCAACATTAATTTACTAGTGCACCATGTTCTTGGGGAGGTTGTGGGGCATTCACACGTGCCATGTTCCTGTGTGTAAATTTGAAGTAGGAGCTTTCTACCTCCACTTCTTGTTTCCATGGTAGCACTGCCATCTAATGACAGTTGGTGTATTTGGTTTGAGGTAATGTAAACTTCAGAACAATTTTGGCAATTTATTCGTTTGCCTTGTTCGGGTTGAATGTAGACACAGTAGTCGCTTCTGTATATATTTATTGAGTGAGGCAAACAGGTGTATAACTGGCCAGCCGAGGTCCACCTACTCTGGGTCTGTGAGGATAACTGAGGCTGCTGGGAGCATGCTTGATGCTCCTCTGTCTGGCATGACGTCAGAGGCCTACTTGCCTGTGATTGGTTACATTTCAACTGACAGAATTTGAGTATAACACCGCTCGGACACGCTACCAAGTCGACGTCCCTTGTCGACAAGCTCTGGCTAGCTATATAGTTACAATGATACTGAAAGGACCTCGGTGGCATACAATAATGGCTTACATGTGAAATTTGCATAATAAAACATTGAAAGAAGATCAGGTGTGCGTAATACAAACAACTCGGCATATATGCACCAAAAAAAAAAATTCATCATAATAGGTGAAAATCATGGTAACAATGCTTTGATTAAATCAGAGTATTAAGAACATGTGTAAGTCTACTGATCAGATATGAACAATACAACTCAAGGTATTGCCTAAACAAAATTATTAACATGTGTCAATGGCATGTGCTTGAAAACCATACAAAATTAAACAATTATTACATTAATAGAACAAAGTTCTGACCTAACAACCACAATTGAATTTCAAGATAGATAATTTTTTTTTTCTCTTTTTTTTTTTTTTTTTCGAAATATACAATATATTTACAAGACCAATGTACAATATATATAATGTGCAATATATTTACAAGCATATACAAGACCTGGATCAAGAAGACTAACATCTGCGTGATAGCAGTCAGGATTCACTGGCCACAATGTGGTTGCTAGAACAATAATAACTCTTATGACAAGCACTGTAAAAATACAAATGGTAGTAGACTTAACAATGGCATCTAATTTATAACAAAATAAAGTTGAGAAAAACTATACATTATATATAATGGTAATAATAAGACACATGTGGTAGAAATACTGCAATTGAGTTTTTTTTTTTTTTTTTTTTTTTTTTTTCAAAACAAACAGAATAACTACAGAGTGCAATCAATTATAAATTCTGCGGATATCTACACCTAGCTCATCCAGAGCACTATACAACTCTGGCTCTGACTGAAGGTCCGGAACAGGTGAAACTTCATGCGACAAACTATCATCTTGAGAGATATCCTCGTTAACATCTAGCCAATGGACATGTGGTGAGTGCACGGTTGAAACGAGAGGTCTAGATCTAAGATTATAATTGCTAGTATGGGGTTGCTGAACATCCAGTGGTCTGTCAACCACAGGAGGTGGTGTCCGAGTAGGAGTATCTGTCTGGGTAAGTTCATTGTCATCTTCCTCATCAGTCTCGTCAACAGTCATTTTAGCTAACTTCATGTGGTCTAAATGTTCATTTATATACTCTCCTGTTAACAAGTTCTTAAGTCTGTATTTGTTACCTTTAATAAGCTCGATTACCTTATATGGACCCAAAAATTTCTTAGTTAACTTGTACATAGGACCAGACCTGTGTTGGTTAAGTATCATTACTACAAATCCAATAGTTATTTTATTGGGTTTAGCTCGTGCATTCCTTGCTAGAGTGAACTCGGCTGTTGCTTTGGACAGTTGTTCTCGTATTTTCTTGAATACTAATTGCATTTGTCTACGCTTCACTTGAACAAAATCATCTACGTTATATAAGGGAGTAGGAGGTACGTTAATCAATTCATTAATGGTCAAGGATTATTTAGTGAATATATTGTTTTGAAATATTTCTGGTGACCTGTTACCTCTAGGCAAGTTGAGGAATTTTATCTACCAAACCTCTTTAAAGTGGGAGAAGACCGCTTAAAACGGTAAATTGTCTTCTAGGGCATAAGGTTACTTAGAATCTGGTGTGAGGTCTGTGTCTTATGAAGGCCAATTACATGAAGTATGGAAGAGCTGCTGAGGGGAACAGAAAAAAAGATATTCATCAACCCAATGTAAAATAGAATGAGTGAGAAAAGTTTCACTGTACCTCTTAAAAAAAAAGTCTCATCTTTATATTACACACAACCAATCCTTATATATGTGACAGATACCTCCATTAGCGACTGTGGTCAGTTTCATTAACCCTTAGACAGGGACTATCATTATATGTTGATTCATGGGGTAATGCATCGCACAACGATTTAAACAATAACTGTCTGGGTTTTACATGTGTGATGCAAATATGGATATAATAGCTCTGTGGATGTAATGGAGTTTACCTGGACCCATGGAAATATATCCTGCCGCCATTTCATGGCTATGTGTACAAGGAGCAGCCTGGTGTCGTGTGTGTGGGCCACATTAGTGGCTTATGCCTTTCTTTTTATCTATACTCTCGTTCATATGGTGCCAATTAGGCCATATGTCATCGCCCAGAGATCAACACCATTGTATGTTCATGTCCTTTTCACTACTCTCTGGTTGTAATGGCATATATACCAGATAAACCAATCCTCAGTTGAAACATGTGTTATGTGAATTATGTGATTTTTCAAGTGATTTAACACACACACACATACTCTTGTAAATAAAGAGAAACAAGTGATAAACAATCGGTGAAATATCTGAGGAGAATACAAGAAGCATAAGCAGTGTCGGGCACTGGGAGTTGACAGGTGCCAGAGACAGACACCACACACCCTTCAAGAGCTTCTCCACCCAGTGAAACAATAAATATTTACTTTTTTGTTTTTTTTCCTACGTTTTGCATTAAAATTAAATTTTGTAATAGTTTTTATTTTTTGTGCATAGGCAAGAATGCCTATTTTTCCATAGCGACTGTCTAAGGGTTAAGTAATTAATTTGAGAAGAGAATGACTTAGGAATGGTCATTGCAATAGTACTAAAGTTTCTGGGTGATTTCACCTATTTGAAGGCTTAAAAAAATAATTAAAAGACGTGCCTGGTTATGTTTATTGGTTATGATGATATAGACAAGTGGCTGCCCTGAACACTGAATATCATAATTTATAAAAATATTTTCATCAAATCAAAATAAACAACAGTTTAGCATTGGTTCAAATCCCTGCAGATTTAATTTGTATTTTGGTGATCTCCGACAATCTGCTTGCAGCTAGTCAGTATTTCTGCAGTATTTTTTTTTTTTTAATTATAAATAATAATACTTGAACATTCCAATTCTAGAGGTGTTTCGTAACAATGATTGGGTTTTTAATTCATCTTTTACTCAAGTGCAGTACAGTAATTGCACACATTTTTATACACATGAAGTGTGTCGGGGAATAATTAAACGTAATAACAAAGCCGTTTACATACACGGATCAAGTTTACACAAGTTTTATGCTCTATTTTTGCTGTTGATTGAACCTGAAAATAATACACAGCTCAGTACTCTATAGTAGTAAATTTTAAAACATCCTTAAATACTGGATTTGAGAAATATGCATTTATGTAACTTGACATTAAATTAGAGGTATCATTGTGTTGTGATACCTAAAGTAATATCTTTGCTTGATTTTTTAAAGCCAAGATTTTTTATTCAAAGTATTTTTCCTTTCTATGTTTGAAGAGTGTGTGAGAGAATGAACGAATGAATGAGAATGAACTGTAGCACTTGTTCAAAATTGTTAGGTAATTTAAGCATATAAAATTTTATCACTGGTCATTGATTTTTTTTTTTTTTTTTACCCCGCACGCTTGAGTGGCGGGAGGTTCCTGTGTGTTGCAGGTATTCTTGGGGAAGGGGGATGGGGGCTCTGGGGTTTCTCAATGAGTGCCTCTTTGCTCCTGCACTTCCTTGTGACCTTAGTCTGGTGCATCTGCATGCTCGAGTTCTCTCTCTTTTTGGCTCCTTTGATGGCCGTTAACTTTCAGACTCGCTGTCTTTGGCCTCTGTCTTGCATTTCCTTGGTCTTCTGTCACTGTCATCGGATTGGCTTTCAGAAGATGCAGGGTGGGAGCCATTGGGTGGGGTCTTTGTCTCGTCGTCTTCTGCGTTGTCTGCCTTACTGAAGCTGTTGCGCCGATCCTCTGGGAAGCGGTTTCCATATTTTTCACTTCCCATCTCGTGTATCGGCAGGCTGTGCTATCCTTCTCGTTCGACTCGGCTTGGGCCCTGGCTCTTCAGTCTTCACCATTTTGTTCTCATTTGTTCCTTAAGGACTGTGTTTCTCGGTTTTTGTTGGCGGCTTTAACTAGTTGTCTGCTTCTTTCTGTTTTGTTGATTCTCTTGGGGGTGGGGGGGGGGGGTTGCTCTTGGCCCTCTCGGAAACATTGGGTCAGGACTTGGACTTTGTAGGGTCGGGGCAGGCCTGTGGTGCCAGTTTCTGTTAGCTGGCTAACAGAAGCTGGGTGGGTGGAGGTAACGAGTTGGGGGAGGGGGGGGATTAGTTTGATGAAGTTTTGCTTGTTTGCATTCTGTGGGAGTTCTTTTGTGCTTGTGAGGGCATAGGTCACACTTTTCAACCAGGCAGTTATCTGTCTTGATTTGCCTACATTTCTGGGTGTCTTCCCTGATCGATGGCAAGATTAAATGTAAAGTGTTCATAGGCCATAGCTTCCTTTGCCTCTCAGAGGGGGCCAGGTTCTGGTTCATGGACCCCAGTAAGCTTATAAAGAACTCGGCGTCTGATGACGCTCGACTAGTATAGCACTCGATCAGTAAGATAGTTTCAGGGAGCTAACAGGGCTCACCCAGAAACTGGCATTTCCTTAGAGCATTAATTAGGTCACCTGTTTTCATTTTATGTATAATTCACTCAAATAAGATAGTGGGTTCCAGTAGCGCACACAGTAGTTAAAAACACGGCTCATGTGATATGAGCTGGTAATTGAAAGTGTACATTAGAAGAATGGTTGACTATTTTATGAACTGATGGTTGGGGTTTACAGTCACAGGCAAATAGTTTTACGCTCAAAGTGTGTCCAGGAATAATTAATCCTTTTCAATATCAGAACGCTACTTACATATAGTTTATAATGCTGTACAAATCTACTTTTTCTGTTAACTAAATCTTAAAAGAATTCCACACATATTGATTGTGTTATGGTAGACATAGACTGTATACATTTTTAGACATTGATATTTTTATTAGTATGATAAGCTTTTGGCATTAAGTATATGGATTCATGTAGAAACATTACCTGATAACAGCACCTTTTTAATGTTTTGCAGATTTTTAACTCGCTATTCTAGAATTAAAATACAGTACTTTAATTTAACAGAGGATTTAGTTATAAATCTAAAAAGTTTTACATCTCTGCACTTTTTCAAGTACTGTATTGTGATTCATAAATACATTACAATATAAAATTACTTCAACATTAATTTTCATTTTTTTTGAATGAACAAATAAAATATCTGTATATATAATAATTTTTTGAATTAAAGTAATTTCTTAAATTCTAATTGCTTTCCGTCTGTACAATAAGTTATATATCTTAAGTCTATAGAATTTTCAATTGCTAGAAAAACTGAGAGCACAGACTTTTCTGGCGAGGGAGAGGAACCACCCCCCTTGTGGCTTTCTGAAGCTATAAGCTCAGATGGTTACCATCTACTGGGTCACATCAACCATAGAGCTACTGGGACCAAAGCCTGAACCTGGTTTCCCATCACAGAGGCACAGGGAGTTATGACATTTATTTTCACCACCTTGTTGGGGAAGGCAACCAGAAAGTCAGCAAGTGGTAACTACTGCTGGATTCAAAAGAAACCAAAGCCTCAAAACCAGTCAAAAGAACTCCCCCCAACTGTGTAAACAAAGAATTGAATTCTCTTGGAACTAGCGCATGTTCGTTTGTCTGGTTGCCTTTCCCGGTGAGGTGACAAAAATAAATGCCATCGCTCCCTGCATCTATGTGAGGGAGGAGCTTCTGGCTTCAGTCCCCATTAGGCGTCTATAGTGCTACAGCTGATGTCACCCAGTAGATGATAACTGCAGCATATAGTTTTAGGATGTCACCGGAGCTTACCCAGAAATTGGCATTTAATTACATTCAATGCTGATTTTTCTGAAATAAACTATAATGTTAAGCAACAACCAAAATTTGTATATGCAGAAGGCATTTAAAGTTACATATATATCTACTTTTGTAATTAAGAACACACATGGATATGGTGCTGAATTCCAAATTGACCTTGAAATGGAATGCTATCAGCTACAGTGGAAACATCATTACATAAAAGGCTATTTGAAGACATTACATTTAAAGCTAGCTTTCAAGCTGGTTTCGCACATTTTAATATGTATTTAAACCCCTTACAGTGTTTAGTGAGTTTTACAGGAAAGTTTTACAGGAATTTTGCTTTAAGATCTATGCAGTATATGCATTAAATTTTCATCCTGAATTGTTCAACATCAGTCTTTGAATATTTCACATATCCACACAAAAAAAACTTAACTGTACTGTATATGCAAAAAAAGCCTTGTTGATATTACAGTGCAGTTAAAGGGATTTATTATACTGTAATTCAGTATTAAAAGACTTGTGTGGGAGGGGTCATTTTTGTGGGAGGTTGGCATGGAAAGGTGAGGAAGGGGCATGAATGTTGTCATACCAATATTTCTGAATGTGTATTTTGAAGAATTCATCTGCAGTTGTGGTGGTAATGTTTATGGTCGCTGATACGAACACAAATGTGATGGAATGTGTTTGGTGTATGGTTAGAGATGTGAATGAATACATATACAGTAATTAAATACATGAGCAATGAAGTGTCTATACAAAATTATTTCCTTTTCAGTATTCTACATATACTGTAATGCTATTTGTAGCATTTCATTAAAATAAATTAGCAAGCACCTGTTATAGAATAGAAGCACTATATATATATTACAGGTAATTTTTTGGGATTGCACTGTTGAAGTTTTGTAATTTTAAAGTTATTACAAAATACTGTATTGCATTATCGATATGTTGTTTGGCACTTGCTAGTTGTAAGTTTCCTTTGCAATAGATCATTCAGTTTGGTTTACAAAATAGTAGTTTGAAGTGCCCTTTATTATCCTTTTAAGGAATTAATTGTTCAGTATTTTGTATTTAAAGGGGTATGGTATGATATTGATCAGCTTTCCTTTGTTGACAAGAATTGTACGTTCTGACATGCGTAACAAATGTTAAGTACTGTGTTGCACTTTGTGTTGGCTTCTGTTCACTAATACACTGTAAGGTAGCTGGCTCTCATGATTCTTAACAGTATTACGTAAAGCATGCTTACTCAATGTTGAAACCTTTCAGAATTGTGAGGATAATTACAACTTATATAATTTGTGCAGCATTTTAGAGCTAACATATAATTATTGTATGCACATCCAGCCATGGGCAATAGATTATTTTGGAGCTAATTTTTCTGATCTGTAATGTAGTACATTAATATTTAAAAAATTTACCCCAAAAGGATTGTATATGTTAAAAGTCCAATATTTTATCAGAAGCTCTATATATCTAGTGTGCGTTTACAATGGATATCACATACACTGAGCTCATACTTGTGTATTTTATTTATTTATTTATGGTTGCTCTTTGTGCCAGACTTTTCCCCGCACAATAAGATAGAGATCTAGACACATGCCTTAGTGCAAAGATTTTAATCTGCTTTTCAAGAGGAGCAGATTATTAACATCATTAATCGGCAGAGACTTGGGTTGTAGTAGCGGAATCCTCCCACTTTGGAAAATGGGAAAGGCATGCATTTAATGCCCTTCCTCAAAGTGGCAGTGGCTTTGTGAATATACATTACCCATTGCAGATTTCAAAGTGGTGCTTAACATTCTTATCAAATATGCAGATACATTGATGTGTATACATTACAGATATACATGCATATACTGTACGTGTGTGCATACATACATATAATAATTTTGTGGTGCATTTTAATTAATGCAGAACACTGGTATCGAGTACATTTTGAAATATAATATTTTCTGGTACTTTATTCTTTTGGATATGTTGGTGGATAGATCAGTACCAAACAATAATTTTTTGAATAGTGGTACATCTCTGCTTCATATGTAAATTACAAATGTAAAAATATTTTTGTGTTCCAAATATCAGCAAGTATCCCAGGACAATTTTGTAATTAGCTTTCTTGCTAATGAATTAGCTATTAGCATACATTATATTTCATTATTTCATCAGTAGTTATTGTATATTGATTATGCATTCATCTTTTAACAAAAGTTTAAAATTAAATTTAGTTTTTCTGGATATTTTGGGGCAGTTGCACATTGCTTCCTCCGAATGCTAACATGAATATATCGTACCGTAATGTAATTATATTTTAAAGAGTTCTAGTGGCCAGCAGTTTATTCCTGCATGTGATTCTTTGCAGAATCTGGCTTTATGTAACTTTGATGTTACCAAAAATGAATTTATAACTCTGACATTTTGAAACATCAGAAGCCTTAAGTGTTGTCAGACACTAAATGGTCAGTATCATTTGTAACGTACACATTAGTCTCAGCATCGTGGGGTTCTTGGTGGCGGGGCACCAAGCGTTGTTTACGACGTTCACACCACCAACAACACACTCGGGACAATAGCAGCAGAGTCGAGGATGACACCTGCAAAGATTTGGCAATGGTTACTCGGTGATAAATCATATGATAAATTAGGTAACACTGCAAAACAATTTAATTATGTCATTTGTCCACCTCATTTTAAGTTGCAAGAATAACAGTACGTGTCTGGTATCACTGGTATTAGATGATTGTCATGCCCTTCAAGAAGACCTGGACAATATAAGTGTATGGAGCACCACCTGGCAAATGGAATTTAATGTGAATAAATGCCATGTTATGGAGTGTGGAATAGGAGAACATAGACTCCATACAACCTATAAATTATGTGAGAAATCCTTAAAGTATTCTGATAAAAGGAGAGAGAGCTAGGAGTGGTTCTAGATAGAAAATTATCACCTGAAGACCACTCAAAGAAAATTGTGTGAGGAGCCTATGCTACACTTTCTAACTTCAGAATTGCTTTTAAATACATGGATGGCAAAATACTAAAGAAATTGTTCAAGACTTTTTAGACCAAAGCTGGAATATGCAGCAGTTGTATGGTGCCCATATCTTAAGAAGCACATCAACAAACTGTAAAAGGTGCAAAGACATGCAACTAAGTGGCTCCCAGAACTGAAAGACAACAGCTATGAGGAGAGGTTAGAGGTACTAAATATGCCAAAACTTGAAGATAGAAGAAAAAAAGGCGATATGATCACTATCTTGAGGTTATCTTGAGATGATTTCGGGGCTTTTAGTGTCCCTGCGGCCCGGTCCTCGACCAGGCCTCCACCCCCAGGAAGCAGCCCGTGACAGCTGACTAACACCCAGGTACCTATTTTACTGCTAGGTAACAGGGGCATAGGGTGAAAGAAACTTTGCCCATTGTTTCTCGCCGGCACCTGGGATCGAACCCAGGACCACAGGATCACAAGTCCAGCGTGCTGTCCGCTCGTCCGACCGGCTCCCATGTGCAAAATAGTAACGGAAATTGATAAAATTGATAGGGAAGAATTCCTGAGGCCTGGAATTTCAAGAACAAGAGGTCATAAATATAAACTAACTAAACAAAGCTACCGAAGGAATATAAGAGAATTCACTTTTGCAAACAGTGTGGTAGATGGTTGGAACAAGTTAGGTGAGAAGGTGGTGTTGGCCAAATAGTCAGTAATTTCAAAGCGTTATATGACAGTGTGCTGGGAAGATGGGACACCACGAGTGTAGCTCTCATCCTGTAACTACACTTAGGTAATTACTTCCAAACCATTACCATAAATATAGAAGGCTGACTCGATTTTGAGACAAGGAGGACTGAACTCCCACGTCCATGAATACTTAAAATTTGTGCATATACTGAACACTATTTTATGAAATTGATTTTTTTTTAGTATCGTAAGTCACTTGTCTCTCGATAAAGTCCTTGAATCTAATATTTTTTTACATTGCTTGTGTCGTTTTTAATGTGTATTAGCATCTTGAATGAATTCTAGGACGTTTTAACTGTTCTGTACTAAAGACAGTGGATTTTTACATGTACAGTACAGTACCAAAAGTATATACAAAATATGTATTTAAATATAAAAATAGAAATTATAAATTATTTTTATTTGCCTTTTCCCAGCAAATGCCATTTCCAGCTCACAATCGATATCATGTCATCTAGGGCCACAATTATGGCTTCGAGTTCTCTTCGCCAAAGATTTGTGCTATGACTTTTACTCAGGGGCATGTTGTCCCTTGACCCTCCCCTGTTGTAACTTTATGGTAATCACCCTCTATAGAGGGATACTGCCAAAATCTTTGGGTTGGTCTTAACCAAGGCGTGGGCCTTCACACCCACGATTATTTTCCAAGGTGGCACCTGTTTACTGGAGACCTGATAAAGTGAATGTGAGCCGCATGTACTGTACCTGTATGAGTTTTAAACCTTAGGCTAGACCTAAAAGTGATCCTTGTCGCTGTGCACGCCTTCAATGAAACGACTCTGATCGCTATGAGGAGCAGAAAGGCTAATGTCCCTAGGTGTCATTTGCCCCTCAGTAAAGTCCTTGGTAAATCTTTTACCTTTAATATTGCATGACTTCTATCCATTTGTTCTAATATTTGCATCTTGAGGGATATTTAGTGCATTTTGAATATCCAGTAACAAAGATGGTGCTACGTAGTTTTCCCAGTTTGGTGCCCCTTCATTTGATAATTACTTCTCCGAACAATTTGGCTGCATATATTGAATAATATTTAAACCCTCAAATATTGGATATTGATAAGTTTATTATGTAGTGATTCATGGTTCAGTTTAAGAGGTCTTTTTCTTACTAGAATTATCAGTTTATATCTGGAGTAGTTTAAGGGTTAATGACAGCATTCTTGACACTTAATTCTTACCTGATCATCAGTGAAAACGTAGAGAAGAGGATTAGTGACAGCAGCTGCAGCAAGCAGAAGTGAGGCCCAGGGAAGTGCTGCAGCCTCCTCATGATAGTGGCTAGGACTAGCCTGACACTGGGAGGATACAGCACAAGATGATGCCACCACCACATGAGCTAACATGGGTATCATGGAGCCCACACTTACGCACCACCCACCCACACGTACACTGCCACTGCTGTTGTTGTGTATTCCTTGCCTGGAATTATATATATTGAGTAGAAATTTGATCTACATAATTTTGAAAAGAATTGTGCATGAATACTATTATTGCGCATAGTAAAAAGGGATAGTACATTTAGTACAAGACAACAATTGGTACAATAGAAGTACAAGAAGTTGTACTTCTATTCAAACAACATTGTGCTTACACATGATTTGCAATTGGAGCTTCTTCTGCATCAGGGCAGTTAACTGCTGGTGGTATTCCTGTACGAGTTGCCATAGCTTTAAGTTGGGTGGCACGGGTGGAGGCCCACATCAGCAGTGCAGCAGCAACATGGCCTCCCACTAAGAATGTGAGGAATGCGGTGAAAGAGAGTGGCCAGAGTGTTGATAAGTGGCAACGTGCATCATGAGCTTCCCAAGAGTTCCAACCAGCATAAGGTAGCACTGATACGACCACTGCCACAAGCCATACAGCTCCCACACCCACACTCCAGCCAACCACATTGCTCCCAGCTGTCATGAACCTGAAATACATTTATTCATAAATTACTGAAGCAATGGTAATTGAAGCAGTTATAAACCTGAAGTGGATTTGTCTTGGAGTAATTTTTAAACAATGATTTTTAGAAGAGGCAGAAAGAATTCTTCCAAATGGTAGATACATGGAGATAAAATTGTTGCCAGTGAACAGGTTCTGTTGAAGGCTTCTAATACATGTTAGATATATTAGTCATGCTGTTGAAAAAATATACTGTAAAATGTTAGAAGAATAGATGGATGAAAATCCCAAGTTTAGTGTGCAAGTTGGATCAGTTGGTTGTACCGAAGGAAAAAATGTAAATTATTGATTGGTAATTGTTGATTGCATGAAAGGAGAGTAGAACACGTTAGATGAATAATGCAAAGCAATGCATTGGATTAAAACATTGTAGCAGAATAATGCAAGCTAGAGAGGGGCAACAAAACATGTAGCAGAATTAGGCAGTGAAACATGTGGAAAATAATACTGAAGCAAAAGATATAAAGGAAGTCTTTACTCTGAAGTGAACACAAGTGTTTCTTGAGATTGTACAAAATGTGAACATGGCCTTGGTTCAGCAAAAATAGTACAGTAGTCCATTTTTAAGAAAAACTGAAATGTGTAGAATGAGGTATAGAATAATTTAATGGTTATGAATTGTATTGGTAGATATGATATTTGCCAACAAATACTGAAGAATAATGACGGTGTTCGTTTAAGAAGTATTAGCACTATGCAGTAATTTGAGCGGTGATGCAGATAAGGAATGGAATATGGAGGGGAAATTTATACCATTTCCTCCTAGGTATACAGTACTTAGAAAAGAAGAAGAAAAAAGTGTATGTTTAAAATAATAAGTTAACAGAAATAGGAATACTGTACTGTATTAAAATCTATCCTCCTGAAATTATAACTACTGGTAATTGGTACTTTTGACCAAATAGTTACTGTGTGGAGTGATGGACCACCAAAAAGTTCACCTTTACTTTTTAAATTAATAATGTTGGAAAAATAAAGCTAAAAAATCAAACTTAAACATTCCTAGGCCTAATATAGCATATGTATGAATGTACTCGAGCCAACATCTATATAGAGAGACCTTAAAGGGGACAGGAAGCCAACATTTTTTTCTGATATAAAGCATGGGCCTAGAAGAGGTTAGACTAGGTTCTACATTTATGTTGTTAAAAAAGGTAACCATTTGGCCAAATTTAGTAATACAAAAGTCAGCATTTTGGTGGGCCACCACTACATAGTGGTACTTGCAACCAAATAATTACTAAAAGTGCTTTCATTTTAGGTGAATGGGCTGGAATATTACATATTAATTCTGCTTTGGGTAAATTACTATGGCAGGTGGTGGCTTGTGCAGGTAAGAGGGCGAGGCTGGATCAATAGCTACCAGCGGGGTCACTCTCTCTCTCTCTCTCTCTTTCTCCACCAGCTGGGAACACCCCTTCAGCACACTCCCTCCACCAGCTGGGAACACCCCTTCAGCACACTCCCTCCACCAGCTGGGAACACCCCTTCAGCACACTCCCTCCACCAGCTGGGAACACACCCCTTCAGCACGCTCCCTCCACCAGTTAGGAACACCCCTTCAGCACACTCCCTCCACCATCTGGGAACACACCCCTTCAGCACACTCCCTCCACCAGCTGGGAACACACCCCTTCAGCACGCTCCCTCCACCAGCTGGGAACACCCCCCCATCCTTCAGCACACTCCTCCACCAACTAGGAACACACCTCATTAGCATGCTCCCTCCCCCAGCTGGGAACACACCCCATGAACATGCTTCCTCCACCAGCTGGGAACACAACCCACAACATGCTTCCTTCACCAGCTGGGAACACAACCCACAACACAAACTGAAGAAATGGTCTAACAAATGGCTACTCAAGTTCAACCTAAGTAAATGTAAGGTAATGAAACTAAGTGGAGGGAACAGGAGGCCAGGCATAGGATATCAAATGGGAGACAGTCCTCCACGAAACGGACAGAGAGAGAGATCTAGGAGTTGATATCATGCTGAACCTCTCTCTTGAAGCCCACATCAACAAAATATTGTTAGTGACATTTGCAAGGCTGGCTAACATCAGAACTGCCTTTAAAAATCTTGTATAAGATTTTACATATGTGGTATACATTCAAAACCTTGTATACCACATGTGTAAGACCAATCCAGGAGTATGCGGCCCCAACTTGGAGTGCATACCTTATCAAGCACATGATGAAGCTGGAGAAAGTTCAGAGGTATGCCACAAGACTAGTCTCGGAACTGAGAGGCATGTGTTATGAATAAATGTTGCGTGAATTACATCTCACATCACTGGAAGACAGAAGAGCTTGGTGAGACATGATCACCACATGCAAAGTTCTCAAGGGAATTGACAGGTTAGATAAAGACGGATTATTTAACCCGGGTGGTACTGTCACAAGGGAACACAGGTGGAAGCCAAATACCCAAATGAGCCACAGACACATTAGAAAGAATGTTTTCAGTGTCAGAGTGGTTAATAAATGGAATGTACTAGGAAGTGATGTGGTGGAGGCTGACTCCATTCACAGTTTCAAATGTAGATATGATAAAATTCAATAAGCTCAGGAACCTGTGCAACAGTAGACTGTCAGTTGAGAGGCAAGACCAAAGAGCTGAAGCTCAACCCTAACAAGCACAACTAGGTGAGTACATGTCAAAACCATTTAAAGTTTCAAAGCGTCATATGACGAGTACGGTACTGGGAAGACGGGCCACATTGAATATAGCTCTCATCCTGTCACTACACGTTGGTATGGTAATTACACTTTTCTTCCTCCTTCACCAGCTATCACCCTTGGTTTTCATTTCCATTATCAAAATATCTTTATTAATTACTTGGCTTTTGCTTTATGTGTAAATGAGAACAGTGAAGATGAACAATCAGTGGATGCATGTATGAAGTTATAAGGTTAAATGAAATAACAAACTATAACATTATTGAAGATAAAAAATGCAAGCCTTCATGTCTTTAGATTTAGTGTATTGAGATGGTTTTGGTCATGCTGAATAAATGAATGACAGTAGTAAAGAGTGTATTACAGTAAATTTGGGAGTAGGAGGATAGGAATATTAAAAAAAAAGTACATGTAGAAATATTGGGAGGGATTTCTTTATAAGGATGTGAATATTTGCCATTTTGGTACACTGTAACTCACCAGTGGCAGATGTGTGAGGACGTGGTACTGTACTACATACGAAAAGGGGGTGACTTACCTGCGTGGGTCATTAATCTTCATATAATGGTGGAAGAGGAGGAGTGTTGAGGTGCCGAGTGAGGTGAGCGCTGTCAGGAGGATGATAGCAGAGTGGCCCAGGTAGCAGGCGGCATATCCTTCCTCGCCAACCACTGATCCTTTACCATGTACACAGAATACAAATGTACTAAAGTACACATAAATGTCATTATCTTGTTCCATTTGAAACACCCTTATCCATACTTTTTGTGAGTATTATATTAAGCTAAATTACATTACATTCATGTCCACATTCTTGTGCTTCTTGCAGTAATTGTTTATAATATAATAAACTTCACTTGCTTGCTCTCTGTCTATTTCATGTTTCTGCAAGTAATTTTATTATTGTACCTAATACCACCTTGAATGAAATGTTTGCTAATTACTCAAAGGTTGATTACATCATTGAGATATCAATTGCAGAAATTAGACAGGGAGTGTTGGGGTAAAATTGTCAGCATTTGACTGTGAAATACAGACTAACCATGATGATAACATGGTATAAATGTTTGCTTAGATCCCTACAATGACAGATTTATATATCAGTGTAATATGAGGAACATGGCAAAGGTGAGACAGCGGCAATGCAGACAGTGATGAACTCTTGACAGCTAGGGTGATAGCAAGATGAAAACAAGTACGAAATGTAGGGAAAGGCTTGAGTGTGAAAACATGGGAATATGATTAAGGTAAATGAGGATGTATAATATATATTATGCACTATGATGATGATGAAGACAGAAGGCATGTAGAGTAAGAAATATACAGTACATAAAACTGGATTTTTTTTTGTGGAGGTAAACCTAGATGAGTAGGAGGTATATGTTGGGTGGAACATTTATGTGAAAGATATAGACTGCTAGGATGAATCTTGGGAGCACATTATACATTTAAAGCACAAATTGAACTTCAGATATGTGCTATTAGGAATTTATAGGTAATATGCACAAAATGTCTGAGTGTGTGGTAGGGATGCAGGAAAAAATAATGTAGGATTAATAGGGTGCAGAAGGGAAAAGCCCGTTTACTCTCATGACCTGCTCCAGGATCCGTCAATGCTCTTTGCCAGAGCATTGACGGACAATGGCATGACGAGAGAGGGAGAGTATGTATGCAAGATGGAATAAATGAGAGCGTAACCAAATGAGTCAGGTGTGGTAAGAGGGAGAGTGGAAGAATAACTTATATATTTACAGCGATGCAAAATATGAATCTATGTTGAGTTTAACCTGTAGGTGCCTTGCCTCAGGTTGAGGGTGTAACGGGCCTGGCTGGCATACAATTTTCCTCCCCAGTTGTTGCTGGATGAATAAATGTGCACATTGTAGAGCACAGCATATCGCCCACTCTGCCCAGGGATTGAATATGCGTCGTTCCAGTTTCATAGTAGCATAGGAGCCTATGCTACACTTTCCAGTTTCAGAATTTCTTTTAAATACATGGATGGTGCAATACTTAAGAAATTGTTCATGACCTTTGTTAGACCAAAGATGGAATATGCAGCAGTTGTATAGTGCCCAAATCTTAAGCACATCAACAAACTGGAAAAGGTGCAATAACATGCAACTAAATGGCTCCCAGAACTGAAGGACAAGAGCTACGAGGAAAGGTTAGAGGCATTAAATATGTCAAAACTAGAAGATAGAAGAAAATGAGGCACTATGATCACTACATACAAAATAGTAGCTGGAATTAATAAAACAAGAGGTCATAGATTTAAATTAACTGAACAAAGCTGCCAAAGAAATATAAGAAAAAATCATTTTTGCAAACAGACTGGTAGACGGTTGGAACAAGTTAGGTGAGAATGTGGTGGAGGCCAAAACTGTCAGTAGTTTCAAAGCATTATATGAGAGAGTGCTGGGGAGAAGGAACACAACAAGAGTAGCTCTCATCTGTAACTATACTTAAGTAACTTTACACACCTTTTACTCAGTATGTCACAATGTACAAAATATATTCGCTATTATATTTGAAGGAAACATTCTGGTACAGCATTTCTTTCCATGTAACACTTCCGGTGATATTTTCTGTTACCCACATCTGTTTACAGATTTTTCACTTGCCCACAGACCAAAACCTGCCGAGTGAACACAATCACTTACCACAGCAAAAGTTTATGGTGCTAAGTGGTGAGGAAGGGTGTTTGTGTTTTGCAGTTTTTTTGTTTTGTCTTTTGAGTGAATGTGGGTTAGAATAATAGAGAAAGAGTGAAAACATGTAGTGTAGGCCTGAGGGAGAGAGAGACTATGAAGTATGGTTAAGAGTGAGGGAAATTGAGCTATAAAGTAAATAGAGGGTTTAGAATATAGGAATAATGGAATAGTGAAGGAAACGGTGGTTTACACGAGAAAAAGGATGGGATGAAATAAGGTAGGGAGAGGGTGGGACAGTGAAGGGGTTGAGTCGGATAGAGCAAGGGAAAAAAGGAGGAAAAGAGGGGTAGTGTGATGGAGGAGGAGCAGTGGATATAGCAAAGTATGGAGAGGGTGGGGGTAAAGTTAATAATTTATGCAGGGGGGGGTTAGTGGTGTGGCTAATTAGGGAGCCTTACCTCCCCTGGCAGAGATGACGTGTATGGGGAAGGCGACGACAAAGGCAGCCACCAGCCCACTGAGTGCCTGGGACAACAGTAGAACACTCTTCACCCACCGGATGGCTGATGGCCGCGCGAACACTGCCACCTATGCCATGACAACACATGGAACCTTCAGTTAGATGTACTTCTGGGTGTGCTTAGCTGAGTAGAAGGATAGGCTGCTGGGTGTACTTAGCTGAGGTTATATGTACAGTATTTACTTGGGGTGGTGGGTGTGCTTTAGCTTGGGTAAAAGGTGTACTTAGAATGGAGGAATGGGTTAGCTGGAGTGGAAGGTATATTAAGCAGAGATGAATAGTGTACAGTACTGGTGGAGGGATGAATTTACTTGGGGTGTTGGAAGCTAATTAAATAGTTTATTGGATGTACAGTACAGTACTTGTGGTGTGTGAGTGGTGGGTGTACTTGCCTGGGTGAAGGGATGGGTTAGCTAGTGTTTATAGTACTGTACTCAGTTAAGTTGGTGGAAAGCATTATCAGGGATGGTATGGTGGGCACGATGGGTTGATGAGATGTATTAACGAGATAGGAGATGGGTTTGCTAGAGATGTAGATACAGTTAGCTGCATTAGAGGGGTAGGTTGATTGGATTGACATTATAGTAGATTTTCTGGGTTGGTGTTACAGGTTAGCAGGCTTGTGTTATTAGTTAGCTGGGTTGGTGTTATAGGTAAGCTGGGTTCATGTCATGGATTAGATGGGTTGGAACAATGAGGTAATTGTGGTGAAAGGACTGGTTAGTTGTAGTGACAGGTAAATTAGCTTTGGTAAATTGTGGATTACCTGTTAAAATTTAGTTTACAGATAAGTGCTGTGCTAGGAAATTTCAGGGAATCCGTAAGGTTTTAATTTGTAAAAGGATGTCCTTTTAAAGCAAGAGAAAATGTAAGGCAGTTCTATTAAGATGGGTTTTTCCATGTTTTCCAGACATAAGACAGATTAAATTTAGCAGATATTTTATTGGAAGTGTATAACTTACGGAGTAAAGCATTGTGCGCGCACACATGCATGTTTATGTGTAGGAACTGACCATGTCTTACCTGGACAATGTTGGTGAAGAAGCAGACTGTAGCAAGGGCAACACTGACCACCAGGAAGAGTTTCTGGTTGACAGAGGGCTCAGAACTGGCTGACGATGTGGAAGATCCAGCCACTGCAGCTGCGGCTGCCACCACCGAAGGGGAGCTCACATCGTCGGTCATCCTGTGTGTGTTGGTGGGAGCACGCCTTGTATGGTTCTGCTCTCCTGCCTCACTATCCCCACACTGCTGCCTCTCAATCCTCTCACTGCTGGTTCACTGTTTTGTCCCTACAGCTTCACTATTCCCTAACTGCGACTTGTCTGATTTCCTTCACCCGGTTCCACTGTCGAGATTGAAATCTGATTCTGCAGTGTGTTCACTGCTCTTGTACACTACTTCTTACAGTACAGTATTTATTTTGGATACATAGGTAATTCTGTAAAATATACAGTGTTAAATATGATGTTGGTAGCATACACCAAATTATAGTTTTGGGTAATTATATATATCGGGTTGAGATCTAGCTCTTGGGCCCAACATTTTGGCAATATACTACCTGGTATGATTAATCATCTTGATTCTTTAATGCTTTATCATACATGCTGGGTGAGGGATGGGGACATGATGTGCTGGTGAGGGATGGGGACATGATGTGTTGGTGAGGGATGGGAACATGTGTTGGTGAGGGATGGGAACATGTGTTGGTGAGGGATGGGGGACATGATGTGCTGGTGAGGGATGGGGGACATGATGTGCTGGTGAGGGATGGGGACATGGGCTGGGTGAGGGATGGGGATATAATGTGCTAAGCGTGGGATGGGGACATGATGGGTGAGGGATGAGTATATGATGTGCCTGGCCAAGGATACGGATGCGAATGGTGAAGTGAGGGAAGGATGGAGAGTCTTACAGAGCTCTGCATTTCTTGAGGATTGCTCTAGTGTCTGCTGGATAGACCAGGTAGAATTATAGTCCATAATTGAAAAAATTGCATCTTGGTACTGTGTACATGACTATATTTCTTATGCTCATTCATTTATGTCTGTTCATCTTGACTTATATTATTGTTTATCTTATTTTCAGGTAAGTTAAGTCAGCATAGAACTTTTGTTATTGTGAGTATTGTTTCTCTTTCATGTTAACGTTAATGCCGTTAGAGGAATTGTTGGGTCACAATCGAGTTTGTCCTGCCCGAGTTCAATCCCGGTTCAGGACAGAAAGGGTTACTCATGTTCCCTTTCACCAGATGCCTCTGTTCATCTAGCAGTAAATGACGTAATTTAATGGGAGCTGGGAGTTAGGCAAGTGTAATGGTTGCATCCTTAGGAAAAGTCAGTAGTTGGTCTGGGTGGGAGCTCTGTAAGCCAAAGCACAGGATTCCTGTCCCCGACTTTGGGTATTTTAAATATGAGCCTGAGCATGTATAGCACTCGGTGTCTTATTGGTCCCAATTCTTATAGCTTTATACATATAAAACCTACTGAACTTGAGTGTCTTAAGAGCCTGCATTTGGGACTAAATGCTCACGTCCCAATGACACCAATATATTTGTGATAGGTTGACATTTTCCACCACTGTCACTGGGAGTGCATATACAAATGCACATAAAACCGGGACTTATGAAATCTATCGTGAAAGTCTGACTACTTTCTATAAAGTTATAGCCTTTTTTATTTCTAATAAGAAATTATTTCTTATTATTTATTTCTAATAAGTCATATAAGAAGGAAAATGTCGATGAACGACCAAGTGACAAAACTAAAGAAAAACAGAAGGGGCGTACAGGGAAAACGACAAGGAAATCTGCGAGGTACTGAATGCCAGTTTCCATGGAGAGTTCACAACCGAGCCTGAGCAGCTCCCATTGTTAGAAGAGATGATGACCCAAGATGAGAGACTAACGGATATAGAAGGAACAGTACAGGAGGTTATTGAAATAGCTAACAACACCGGATGGAACTAAAGCACTTGGACCAGACAGTGTATCACCGTGGATACTAAAATTACAATTACAATACTTTGTTTGCTTGTTCCTTCACCTCCCTGGTTTTCATTCCTCTCTCCGCACCAGATGAGTTCACTGAAAGGTGATGTGGAGTTGAGACGAGGACTTTGACCCTGATCCCATCCATCCACCTCAAACCAGTCCTCCTCCAGATTCCTTTCCCTCTCACCACACATGCCTCACCATTCCTCCCCCCTCACCACACAGGCCTCGCCATTCCTTCCCCCCTCACCACACATGCCTCACCATTACTCCCTCTCACCACACATGCCTCACCATTCCTTCCCCTCACCACACATGCCTCACCATTACTCCCTCTCACCACACATGCCTCACCATTACTCCCTCTCACCACACATGCCTCACCATTCCTCCCCCTCACCACACAGGCCTCGCCATTCCTCCCCCTCACCACACATGCCTCGCCATTCCTCCCCCTCACCACACAGGCCTCGCCATTCCTCCCCCTCACCACACATGCCTCACCATTCCTCCCTCTCACCACACATGCCTCACCATTCCTTCCCCCCTCACCACACATGCCTCACCATTACTCCCCCTCACCACACATGCCTCACCATTCCTTCTCCCCTCACCACACATGCCTCACCATTCCTCCCTCTCACCACACATGCCTCACCATTCCTTCTCCCCTCACTACACATGCCTCACCATTCCTTCCCCCCTCACTACACATGCCTCACCATTCCTTCCCCCCTCACTACACATGTCTCACCATTCCTTCCCCCCTCACTACACATGCCTCACCATTCCTTCCCCCCTCACCACACATGCCTCACCATTCCTCCCCCTCACCACACATGCCTCACCATTCCTCCCCCTCACCACTAGTGGGTGACCACTGCAGTCTCACTCTCTACCATTTACCACTGCAGTCTTCTCCCCTCTCATCCACCATTGAGGGGTTCCTCCCCTCCCATCTTTCCCTGTGGTGTCCTTCCATCCACCACTGCTGACTTTTCCTTTCCCATCCACTACAGCTGTGTCCTCCCCCCCCTCCCATCCACAATACATATTCCCCTGCTCTCCCTTCCCATGCAGAGCCACTCTTACCCAACCCTCCCCCTCTGACTCCCATTTCAATCTCTTCCCCTCTGTCCGTAACTTTTATGTCTCCCCTCTCGCTTCACACACTTCACAAGTCCCCCTTTACTTCCCCTCCACCAATATAGGCTACCTAATTGTTTGTGCATGCCCGTGCTGAGTGCATGCACTTGCAAAGTGCATACACATGTACTCACTCGCGTAAGAAAGAGAACTGCCCTGTTTAATGTTAAATGGTATACTGATTCAAGTTTTGGGTTGAGCCATGTAAATTGAGTTTGTAACAAAATAAAACCCAGCAAGTGGGGGAGTGAGGGATCCACTGATAAATTCTCACTGAATTTTCCAATATTGGTTGTTAGATTTGTAATATATTTGTCACCATGTGTGATATGATCACACCATACAAAATACCAAGGAGGATAGCTGAGGTGGATAGGAACAGATTTTAAGGTGAAGATTAGATTAAAAGGATAGAGATGAAAGTTGGGAACACAAAATGAATCGGCTGTAAAGGATTCATGTGTATGGATTGCACGTGAGAAACAAGTGGAGCGCACCCGGAGCTGATGTGGGCTTGAAGTCACCTCCATGCTCTGGTTTAAAGGAGTTTCCAAGACACTAATAGAACACATGACACACATCTGCACATGTACCTAAGCCAGCATGAGTTTAGGTATGCATAAGATGCGTTTATAAATGCATCTTAATTTTATATTTTTACGAACGTCCTTGAAATATCATGCAACGAAAGCAAATAACTGGCTAACAAACAAACGCCTTAACCCTCCAGATAGTTTAATACCATCAAACGAATTGCTCCTAAACGCAATTTAGATTGCGTTTAGATTTAGGCAATTTAATCAAGTGAGTGGTAATTGGGTTAAGTGATACTTTGCTGTGAGGGGGTGTCTGGGGTCAGAATCAGGGGTGGATGCCAGGGACAGGTGTTAGGGTGAATGTTATGGATGGGTGTCAGGGGGTGAATGTTGTGGACGGGTGTCGGGGGTGAATGTTATGGACGGGTGTCGGGGGGTGAATGTTGTGGACGGGTGTCGGGGGGTGAATGTTATGGACGGGTGTCGGGGGTGAATGTTGTGGACGGGTGTCGGGGGTGAATGTTATGGATGGGTGTCAGGGGGTGAATGTTGTGGACGGGTGTCAGGGGTGAATGTTATGGACGGGTGTCGGGGGTGAATGTTATGGACGGGTGTCGGGGGTGAATGTTATGGACGGGTGTCGGGAGTGAATGTTGTGGACGGGTGTCGGGGGGTGAATGTTATGGACGGGTGTCAGGGGTGAATGTCAGGGACGGGTGTTGGGGGTGAATGTTGTGGACGGGTGTCGGGGGTGAATGTTGTGGACGGGTGTCAGGGGTGAATGTTATGGACGGGTGTCAGGGGTGAATGTCAGGGACGGGTGTTGGGGGTGAATGTTATGGACGGGTGTCAGGGGTGAATGTTATGGACGGGTGTTGGGGGTGAATGTCAGGGACGGGTGTCCGGGGTGAATGTCAGGGACGGGTGTCCGGGGAAAGAGGGATCAGGGGTGGAGGTCAGCTTTGAAGACGCATGTGGGAAGTCGAAGGTGGTAGGGAACATAAGCCAATGGTCAGCTGGTGGGATGTATTGATCCCTATCCCTCCACAACCCACGATCACCACACCTGCCCACCCATCCCCCTCGCGCCCACCGCCCCTGTGCCATCGAGCCATCACATACTGCTGAATTCTACCACAAATTACCACTGGAGTCGCATATCTTGGCATATGGATCCGCCGCGCCTGCCCATCTTCAACCCCACTTCTCGTGGTACACGCCCTCACCTCCCACCGCACCCCCCTTACATTCCCTCGCGTACCACCATATGGTAAGATGTACCACCGCACCCTACCGTACCTTGTGGCTACCTTGTGTAGCTTTTGGGAATCAACGGCCCCGCAGCCCGGTCTCCAAGCATGCATCCCGGTCGGTCGTCTGGTCAACCAGGCTGTTGGACACAGCTACTCGCAGCCGCGAGTAGCTGTGTCCCATCCCAAATCCTTATCCTGACCCCCTTCCAAGTGCTATATAGTAGTAATGGCTTGGCACTCCTGATAGTCCCCTTCCCTTCTTTCATATATTGTTATGACGTGTGAAGTTAGGGCTATTGGTCTATACGTTTTTGCATCTGCTTTACTACCTCCTTTGTGAAGTGGCGCGATCTCTGCTATTTTAAGTATATCAACAAAAACACCAGTATTTAGGCTCGGTCTCCAGAGGATGTTTAGGGCCTGTGATAGTGGTGTTTTGCACTCCTTGATGAATATAGAATTCCAGGAGTCTGGGCCCAGTGCAGAGTGCATGGGCATGTTGTCTATGGCTACT